TCACAAATATCTTAAGTTGTTAAATATTTGCTAGCTTTGTATATCAGTTTACACATCTGACAAAATGATCTGATTAATCATCAGGTAAATTTACTACAGGCAGTCTGATGTATTGCCATTTGAAGTCAACAGCCCGACACGCAAGCATCCTATTACCCACGCTCCATTGCCATATTTGAACAAAGTTGATATTAAATTTTTTTTTGGCACACTGTTATGGTTTATTCTTTATTTAGCCTTCTTCTATTATTATTATTATTGTTATTATTATTTTTTTTTTTTCTTCGTGATTGTGTTGTGGTGGAGTTTGTTTTACTAATTGCTGTTCTCTTTTCTGTGAGGCTGGCTCCGCCTTGCACCTGCCGCTCATTCGGCTTGTCACCTTTATAAGCGGTACTATAATACTCTTGAGAGTATGACCTGTACTTGCTGAGAATCTCTCTGTATCTTGTCCTGATGAAGGTCTGAGACTTCTGTGCGCATCTAGTGCAGCCGCTGCTGAGGAGCCATGCTGGTGTTGTGCCGTTTCTTTGATCTATGATTATCTATACTTTATCTATATTTTCTCTATAGTTTATGTTTTGTGTTTAAGTAATTGTTTTGACTGAGAGATATTGTTTAATTATTGATTTATGTTTTTGTTGTCACCTTAATTTCCTTAATCAGACACTTATATTCTGGTTTCTAAATAAACAGAGAATTGTATTTCAGGTTTCAGTGTCCTTTTATGTTGCTAACCCCTTCCCTAGACGAGCCTTAAAAACTGGGGTTCGTAACAACACAAAAGTGTTCTTGGAGCTGTGTATGGTTACAGTTGAGCCACTGAAGTCACATGGAATGTTTTGAAAATGTTTTTGGTTCCTTTTTAGGACACTAAATGTCTCTGGACTGCAGCTGAATATGGAGGGTGAGGGAGCTCTCTCTAATTTCATCTAAAGTAGCTTCATCATTTGTGGTTAGAAGATGAACTTCTAACCACAAATGAAGGTCACAAGGGATTGAAATAACAAATCTACTTTAACGTATGCAAACTGAGAGACATTTCGAAATGCATTGTTTACACAGTTGTTTTAGCATACACAAATGTAAAATCTACTATGTTTAAATTGTAAGATTAAGTTATCTAAATTCGTTAATTTTCTAATTTCTATCATTTTAATAATTCATTTTTTTTTGTTTTTTCTCTTTTATTAATATATTAACTGAACAACTGAACATTTGGTTTTGGTTATTTGATTAAATCATTTTAAATCATCTTTTTGAGCACTATAGAGTGGATTCATAAACACTACTGATTGCCCATTGTGTTCAGAATATGACCAACAAATATAATTGTGATTGGTTCTTCATGGAACGCCAACACATATTAAGTGAAACAAATATAATTGCATTGTGAGAAATTCTCACAAAGTTTTTTTAACCCTTGCTTTTTTTTCTAAACCTGCTTTCAAAAATCACCATAATCACACTTATTATTTTCATTTATTCATTTTGTTTTTGGCTTAGTCCCATTATTCATCAGTGGTCGCCAGTGTGGAATGAACCACCAACTTTTCCAGCATATGTTTTACTCAACGGATGTCCTTCCGGCTGCAACCCAACAGTGGGAAACACCCATACACTCTTGCAATCACAAACATATACTACGGTCAATTTTGCTTACTCAATTCACCTACACCCTATGTCTTTGAACTGTGGGGAAATCCGGAGCACGTTGAGGATGAACACAGGGAGAACATACAAACTCCACACAGAAATGCCAACTTGCCCAGCCGAGGCTTGAACCAGCAACCTTTTTGCTGTAAGGTGATCGTGCTACCCACTGTGCCACAGTGACACCCACTGATTGTTTTCATGAAAGTTTATTAATAATTTTGCTGTAATTGGTAATTCATAATCAGGAGCTCGGTCTGGCCATTGGGAGCACCCGGTGACCTTACGGTCAATCGTGAATCATGCCTGCCCAATCTCCTACCACAACCACTCTTCACTTACCGATTGCCACCAACCACCAACTTAAACCCCCGATTGTTGGCCATGATATAATAATGTAATTAATAAAAACTAGTGAAATCACAATGTTACAATGATTTTCCGTTTAAATAAAACATTTGAGAACTTGTAAAAAATATGTATGGTTTTCAAAAATAATAATTAAGCAGCACAACCATTTTTGTAATATCGTTGCCAATAATAAGAAATGCTTTTAAAAAAAGAAACCCCTTTAAAAAAACAGTACAGTAGTGCATAAAGACACAAATGACAGGCAGACTGTAAATTTCAGCAGATAGATTAGCATTTTACACTGTTTTTATATAGCATTAGTATTGAGACATTCACAATATCCAATCTCAAAGATCATCCACGAGATATAAGATTTATTATTAGAGACATTGACATTGTAATTACATCGTGAGTTTCTATTCTTTTGAAGGAAAGACTGCTGCCCTTGAGTATCTATGATTGAATTACAGTAGGCTTTTAGGCCAACAGCACTATACATCAACAGGTCTTGTAATACAAAGACATGTGATACAAAGCGGTTTCATTCATTTGTTGCACACATCATGCATTACATTTGCCAACCTGGACCTCAGAACATTAAAAAGAAGTTTTCCGCAACAGAGAGTTAACTAAAGACACTTTGCAATTTACCAACCCAATCCATGCATTACCTCCTTTCACTAAGTGCTTTCCTGATTGGCAGCTCTGTAATGGCACCCTACCATGAAGACCTGAAGGAAGACTTCAGCACAAGCCAGTAATTTTAACATGTGACCTCAGCGTCTATGCGGTTTGCTTATGATGATCGAAGTACTTTGCAGTAAAATGAGCTTTGTGAACACTAAGCAAAATCCCGATTCCCTGAATGTCATGCTCCATAAGCACACGCATCCTGCACACTGCCCTCCAGCCCAAGCAAACAGGCCACACGCTCACATACACAAACTGACAATTACAGGGGAACAAAGAAACAGAAGAAAAGAGAGAGACAGCCTTGACACACAATCTTCAAGACAACAGCAGCCTTCAGTTCTTTCCTCACTTTTCCACCACAATGGAAACACAAAAAAAAGGAAACAATCAATCGGAGCTCCTGCTGTCTATGAGAGATAACAGACACAAGCTGCTCACCTGTGGGCTGAGATGAGCCACTGTAGGCTAGTTTAGAAAAATATAGGATAGAAATATTAAGTATATATATATATATATATATATATATATATATATATATATATATATATATATATATATATATATATATATATATATATATATATATATATATATATATTAAGCATCTCAATTTTAAGGAATACCTGGATGGCCTGACTACTAAAAATGAACAATATGTACTGAAAACCTATACTGTGAATGTCAATGTTAATAGAGCTATACACATGCCTAGAGTGCTGGAGATGTCAAATAGCAGAAAGACCTTAAAAATAGCTATTCAAGGCTACAGTCGATCATAAATCAGAGAATATGAAACTGCACAAGCCTCAGGCTCTCTCCTATGATCTTTATGCTCACTAGTCCATTCATTGTCTGTGAAGAATCAAGCAAGTTTTGGCTTCTATTATATGGTGTATATTAATAATAAAATATTTTAACAATAATAGCTTATTCTTTTTTAGATTGTGTTCATGTGTTGATGTTTTAGCATGAAAATACAGTAATCTGATACTTAAAATTGAAGGAGAATGTTGTTCTGATCAAACACACTCCCCTTATGGAAATTAGTTTTACACTGTCAGAAAAAAATAATAATAATAATATTAAGGACATGCTTTATATAATTAAATAATTTTATTGTTGATGAATCACTTTGTGTGTATTTCAAACACATAACCTACAACTCATGGCAATTATTATCTTAATATTAATGAATGACCTTTTCATAAATGTTAACTTTCTGCTTTTTCACACAAGTGATTGTAGCTTTGTTTGGGCCTTAAATGGTCAAAAAATGGACCCTTTGACAGTTGGGAACTTATTTGTACTTTTGTTTACCCTTAAATGATACATGAGTAACACATGGTGCTACTATGGACCATTGCAGGTACAACTTCTCTATTTGAAACCCAAGTGTTCACAAATGGACCCCAACCATACCCTTTTTTTCTGACAGTGTACAAATAAATCCAAACACCATGTTTGTTGTAGTTAAATCGTGGCACTCATAACCTTCGTTTAGTAAAACTGGTCAAACAAAAGCTAAATCCACAAAAAAATATATGTGGTTGGAAAACTTTTATAATAAGAAAACCATTATTCATTATCATAAGGGGTTTTATTAAGTTAATTAAAGCCCTCGTCGAAGATCAAGAGCAATTGCCTGCCTAAATCCTGATAAAAAATGTATTCATATATATTAACAGTCAAACACTCATAAGCAGTATATTCATTAAAAATGTCTAAATAAAACTAAAAACATGGTTATTGTAGTTCAACTATGTAACAACAGTAGCCTAACCATTTTATAATAAAACTGACACATGGCAATTAATCCTTAAAAACACATAATAAAATCCTGGTTAAATTTGCATAAGGCATTTGAGCAAATCAAACGTATGGAACACGTGTATACAATAACATCAGGTTGCTACATATTACTTAAAAATTATGCTTATAATATCATTGCTATTTCCCACATACATTCAAAACACGTGCAAACAACGCTTTTTTATTTATATGAACTTCACAATTTAACATAAAAGCATTTTCAGGGTCTTAAAACTGCCAGAAACCCAAAATGCAGTGTGTCAGCAAGCGCGTGGAAGTCTCCATTCACAAAACCAATCCATGCTTCAGTACCATCTACATGCAGGCAAACACACCCACCCTAGTCTGCAACTACAGCTGTAAACACGACCCCTACAATCGCTTTAGAACCCCGTCCGAAGCAGACCCTAAATAAGATCCAAGTTCACGGTCAACCCTACTGCCCAAGTGACCCAATACAGCGAGTTTAGCGTAGAGAGAGAGCACACACTTACCGACAAAAGCGAGCAGGAGTATTCCGAGAGAGCATGGAGCCTGGCGGCGCCGTCCGGAAGCCATTTAATCACATTGAAAATTAGACGAAATGCAATAAAAGAAGGTGAGGCAAGAGCGAAGACAAGGATGGGGAAGGAAGAAATCAGCTCCTCTTGAAATAAACTACAGCCGGTGGCTTCAACATACTTGCGCCATTTTACACATCTTTCAAGGAATGTGTCAGTAGCAGCAGCATCTCGCGCTCTCAGTCTCTCCTCATCGCGACCAAACCAACCAACCAACCAACACGCGCGCGCTCATCCATCCACCTTTCCGAGCGCAGCCTCTCTCTCTCTCTCTCTCTCTCTCTCTCTCTCTCTCTCTCTCTCTCTCTCTCTCTCTCTCTCAGAACAAAAGACGCCTCAAACACAGAGCTGGAAGAGAGGATACCGGGTGGTTATGTGTGCTGGGCATTAAAATAATCTTATATCAAATATTGTTTACAATAATGAAAGCACAGCCGAACAAAGACAGTTAGAAACAAACTAATATAAGCGGAATAATTGGAGGAGGATGATTCAGCTTTTGCTAGAAATAATAGGCTACTGTCATCAACAACAGATTAATTTCTATTATTAATTTCTATGCTTATAATGTTAGTTTATGTTTCTTTACTACTGCACATTTTGATAGAATAAATAGAAGTTAAAATGTCAGACATGAGCCAGCAGTGATAAAAGAGTGCCATCTATTGGAGGTTCAGCATTGAGCCTGACATAAACAAGTGTCTTTCTTCCAAAACAGAAGTCCAAACAGAAGGTAGCCTAATAACTTATGTTATCATCAGATTCCCCAAAGTACTTGTAATTAGATGACTATTTTTTAAATACCATCAGACTACAGAATAAGCCTATATTTTTATTGGCTAGGCTACATTGTTATTTTGTTCAGGAAATATTTGTAAAATGGAAGCAAGTTTTTCACAATTTCCTTTTTTTAACTATTAATTCAAGAAACAAACATACAGAAATCGAACATACAGGTAAATAATAGTAGTAGAAACAATAATGATAATAATTTAACAGAGTAGATTAAATCATAATACATATAAAATAATGTGGGCGACGCGGTGGCGCAGTAGGCAGTGCTGTCACCTCACAGCAAAAAGGTTGTTGGTTCGAGCCTCGGCTGGGTCAGTTGGCATTTCTGTGTGGAGTTTGCATGTTTTCCTCGCGTTAGCTTGGGTTTCCTCCGGGTGCTCCGGTTTCCCCCATAAATCCAAAGACATGCTGTACAGGTGAATTGAATAAACTAAATTGTCCGTGATGTATGTTTGTGAATGAGGGTGTATGGATGTTACCCAGTGATGGGTTGCAGCTGGAAGGGCATCCGCTACATAAAACATATGCTGGACAAGTTGATGGTTCATACTGATGTGGCGACCCCAGATTAAGGGACTAAGCCGAAAAGAAAATGAATGAATAAAATAATGGAATAAGAAAAAAATGAAAAGAGGAAAAATAAACGCAGAGGAAAAAAATTATATCAGTGGCATTTTCAAAATAATGATTGTAATATTTTTAACCAATCTAAGAGTTTTACCAAACACATCAATTCCAATTTTAAAATGTGAAGAAGAAGGATCTGAATTGGTGATTTATTTTTTTTTTGTTGAATAAAATGTGCCAAAAAAAGTTAATGTAGTTCTCTGATATATTAGTTCTACCATCTGATAGTTAGTTTTACTATTTGGTATGATAGTAAAATCTGAACTTGGCATTAGTCACTGACATTACCTTCAGCAGGTATGGTGTGAAAATCGAATGGCAGCTAACGGCTGCTTCTCACTCAGGGCTGTTTATGAGGGAAAGATCTTTACTGATAAGCGAGACTTTCCCCTGTAATGACTAGGCATGAGACGATAACCACTTTTAAGGTTTACCATGGTTTTGAAAAGTCAAGGTTTTAAAACCATTCAAATTCTGCTTTATCATCCCTGAGGTATTTGTACATTTATTGAGTTTTATTTTAGGGCAACATTAGAAAAGGACCCTCCACATCGCAAGCTACTGGTCAGTGCATGATTCAGAAAACATCTGAAAAATAAATCTCTTAAATCAACATCCAGCATGCTGTAGAGCTGAACAGTGCAGTGGCTTACTTTATATCCAAAGAAAAGAAAGGTATCCAAATGCCTTTTCAAGAAATCTGTTTTTTTAAACTAATTAAGACAGCAGAAGTAAATGACTTATTTACATAATTAAGCCTGACATTCAAAAATTTTTAAATGTTAAAAAATATATATACCATGTTTAATGGTGAAAAATATATATTTTTTTGTTTTACCCAGACATTTATAAAGAACATATTTTAGAGTAGTAAGTGCAATATCGTGATATCATAAAACAGAATAATTTTACCCAAGGTTATCATACCGTCAGAATCTTATACCAGCCCATGCCTATAATGACACGTACAAAGGGAAAATACCAATTAAAGTGTTCATGCAGACAGTTTCTATGAAGTGTGATTAATTTATACCATTAGAGGATGGCTATAATCACACAATGTTGCCTTACAACTGTGTTTAAACCTCTTGTAAAAGTGATTTCTGCATATACTAAAGGTCCCCTTTAAAGATCTCTGCAAAGAATGCCCCGTTACATTACTTCACTGCTGGCCTTTAAATAAATTCTCTGGAATCAGTTTGCATAGAAGTATTTCAATGCAACTATGTATTTCATTCACTGCAAAACCCAACAGTCAATATATCAAATGAAATGAGTGTACTTAACTCAAAATTGACTGAAAGTTAATTCTACTCTAAGTGTTTTGAACTCATTGTTGAAGGTAATGAGTTAATTAAATACCTCATTACTTCAACTTAAATTGAGTAAGTTTACAGTACTCATATACATTAGTAACTCAAATGGTTTGTTGCAATCGGTTTCCTCAAACGGTTTGAGTTGTCTTAACTTATTGGGTTTTACAGTACTCAGTTGGTTTGAGTTCTCTTCATTTATTGAGTTTTACTGTGCTCAAATTGCTTCATTTACTCAAATGGATTAAGCTCACAGTACTCATTAGGATTAGTTTTTGAACTTAAATGGTTTGTTGCAATCGGTTTCCTCAAATGGTTTGAGTTAGCTTAACTTTTTGGGTTTTACAGTCAATGGCAAGTTCTCTTGAAAATTACTACTGCAAAATTAAAAACATAACTCATATTTATATAATTGCTTCAAAACAGTGAGACAGTTTTTGTTTATAAGATGTTTATTTACATAATACAAGTTAGCAGATATTTTGCTGCCGCAAAACCTCACAAACAGAGACAGTGAGCGAGGAAGAACATAAACCTCACAATATCAGATATTCCTCCACTGCATCCATCCATCAAACTCTCCACCCTTCACAGCTCACGCATATAATTGAGTACCAACATTTGATCAGATATAATTTCCTTGTATCAATTATTCATAGGGCACATTTGTTCCAGTTAAAAAGATTAGATCCAATCTAACCCAGTCACTTGAAGCTTTCTTATATAATCCGACAACGAAAAGACCGCTGTCACAATATCTACAGATCATAATAGCGCTGTAGAGTATAACATGGAGAGTCAATCTCAAAAACAAATGGTCAATGAACGCTTCTTCGATCTCATTTACCTGTATCTGAAACCCTTTACAGTCTTTAGTTTTTACAAAGAAGGCCATGAGAACATACAAACAGACATCAGACAGACACATAAATGGGTAAGTTTAGTTTTGTGTTTGCCGAGACTGATGTTGTGTCTCACATTAACCGATTAACATCACAGACCAAATACTGCTGCTGGTGTTACACAAATGTGTCCACAGTATGTGTGCTGAGAATCTCAGAAAAGCACAGGTCTGCTGGTTGACTGGGAGGTACATAAAAAAAGGATGTGTTCTCACGTCACTGGAATAGAAAGGTCACCACGAAGCACCAAAGAGAAAACAGCTATTAGAATATTTGATATCTTTAGAAAAAAAAAAAACAATGTCTGTGCATCAGTGTTACTATTTGTTGTTGCTTTCCCCCTGTCGTGAAAGCCTTCACTTTCCAGGAGGACAAGGTGAGGTTTTCATTCTTCAATGCACACTTGCTTTACTTCAGAGTAAGGTATGACACCTGAGCAGTAAGCACTGTATAAAAATGTCCCATATGCACCTTTGTGTCTGTATGGAGAGGTATGGCTTTGACAGGGGAACTCTCATTTCTAACTGTTTGCTATCCATCTCTCCTCAAATCATTGCTTTCCCTAACATACTGAAGCAGAAACCAGCCTGATGCTTGAAAATGATGTAAAATTAGACGATCGACTCATCCGGTTTGAGAAAGTGCATGCATGATAATCCAAAATTGACCCATTCTGAAGTTGTGCCATGCTGAAGATGTCACTATGGTTAAATTAAGAAGCAGCAAATGAGGTATCTGAATTGTATCTGATCCTGAAGGGCTGTTTCTGAACAATAAAATGCATATCTGAGAGACAAGACATCTGTTAACCCTGGCGAAACCTAGATTTCCTTATTTTATTAGAGAAACATTTTTCCTCACACATTCCAAATGCTGTTGGTGAGATGCGCTGAACACTATAATCCAATGAATAAGACTCTGGAGCAAACCCACCAAACAATTCTGTGTTTAATAGACGTCTTATAGACAACCAAACGTAGTCAGCTTGGCTAAAACAAGGCTAAACTTGGGCTGTTAAAAATCTACATCTAAGAATAGCCCAAAACTAGACTAGTTATCAAACAGACAGACTTTATACGTGTAGTCATTCATTTCTGTTTATTTGATGACTAGCCTATAGTTTTGGCCTATTCTTAGACGTCTATTAGATTTGCACTGACAGACCAAATTTAGCCTTGTTTTAGCCAAGATGACCATGTTTAGATGTCTATTAGACATCTATTGGACATCTTTTAAAGCAAAAATGGCTTGCTGGAAGATAAGACTATACGTTTGGCCACACAAAATGTGAGAACATAACAAATATGCACAATCCTGATTTTGGTGGTAACATACAGTAACTGTGGTTGGACTACTTAGTTTAAAGGGTACCTTCAATCGAAAATTGTAATTCTGCTATCTTTTTTTAATCATGTGAGGCTAAGTAAATGATGTCAGATCCTTCATTTTTGGGTGAACTATTGTTTTTGCAGAGAACTGACAGGAAGCATATTGATTAACTGTTATAATCTCAATAAAGCTGCTGACTCTAAAGGTGCAGTCACATTAGGGGCCAATTTGTTAGAGGGAGCTAGCCACCATGCTCAGTTCCGTGAAAACTAATGCTTGAACTCTGAAGGGATGTAATGATATATTTAAACAAACCATTAACTAGAGGATATAGGACCACTGTTGTCATGTTATTTTCATTATAAAGGACATGGAACATTGAGGTTTAAGAACTAAATCACAATTGACTTGACGTGTTGGAACAACATGAAGGAATTAGGTTAACTTATTAGATTGTACAAATTTAAGAGGATTGAACATAATAAAATTGTTGTTGCACAAGTTATCGCATAAAAAAAAAACTCAAGAATTGTGTTGTTTCAGCAAACTTTAACTACGTAGTTTGGACAAACAACAAGCATAGTATCATCAAGGCTGAGAATAGAACACAGCAACAAAGTCACTAGTCATGTTTCTGTCCAAAGATGCCTATTAGATTTATGCTCAAAACTAGAAAAATCACATTTGCGAATAAAGCATGGTTGCCAATGTCAAAAGACAACAAAATTGTCTCTTCCTGATAAACTTGTCCATTAATGCTGGAACATCACACTCATTTTGTCATCACCTTACATGTTAAAATAAAACAATATGATTTTTCTGATGCGCTTGCTGGAATTTATTTTTTATAAATCGGTTTCCAGTGTGCATCTTGGCGTTTAGGTTCCAATATTCCAATATGCATAAAAATAAGTGGATGAAAACAATGGCAACAGGTTATGCCACTAAAATTAACTTTCTAAATATGTCTGATGTCCTGTAATGCTTTAAAATACTTTGTCAGTGTTTACATCCACCAAATCAGTGTACACTTACAGTACATTACTGTAGTTCCAATTGCACTGGAGTAGACCCTGACCCTGTTCACCCAAATGGCAATCTTCAAACCAAAATAGCTCTTAGTTCTAGCAGTGCAAACACTCCAACTGAGTAAGACCTGTGGGAAAAGCTCCTCCAGTGTGAAAGCCCCTACTGCAAACAAAATCCTGCTGTTTCATTAGGAGTTTGGACAGTTAAGAGTTACAAGAGGGTGAAACCACACAGATTTGACTTGATTTTGTGGTCAGGTTGGCCATGCAAATACTCTGTACTGAGTTGTATAGGACTTCTCTATTAGACAAGTCCTTGGCACAGAGTCCAATGGCTAGCTTAAAACATCACACCAGGAGACTCGTCGTGCTTAAAAACATAGTTCACCCACAAAGAAAAATTGTGTCATCATTTACTTTTCATTTACCTAATCCGAATCTAGTATTTGTTTTTTGTTTGTGGTTATAGGTGTTCAACAAATGAAAGAAATTCAAAGGTTTATAACAACTTGAGGGAGAGTAAATGTTGAGTACATTTTTATTTTGTGGGTGAACTAACCCTTTAAGGCCATCAATTAACCACGCACCCTCTACTGGCTAAACAGCAGCTTTACTTTCTTACTTTCACTTAGACCAGAGGAGAACTGCCCCCTCGACTGAGTTGGTTTCACTGTTGTCTTTGGCTTAGTTGGCGTTTGAAAGTCACTTGACCTTCAGAAATGCATCAATATGACTACACTGGATGAGAACGAAAGCTGCAGAATAACAATGGTATTGATCTGAAAATGAAACACTAAATAATTGCACTCATTCACCTCAGTCTTTCCGTTTCTGCATTTTATAAAATTTGAAGCATTATAGACGTAAAGATGACTTGAATAAACTCTACTCTACAATGGCTTCTTGCAAGTAAAATGTCAATAAATTTCACAAATGTGACTGCACCTTAAAGTCCGTGTGAAATCAAAATTTACGTATATTACAAGCACATTGTGATTCTTTGGGCGAACAATTAATGCATGCAAGTTAATCTACCAAATAAAAAGGTTTGTTTTGGTGTAATCTTTAATCAGAGTCTGACCATTTGGAGTGGCGGTCCTTTTCTGTTGACATCAGTTTGAATGATGCACACAAAGAAAAACCCACCCCCAACCCAATATTCTATTTCAGTTGGAAGTACCTCAACATACTGAAATAAAAGTCCCAGCAAACTCCATTCCACAAGGACTTTAAAGCTACGGATCAAGGATGAGTAGCTGACTGGCCTCTATACATATAAAAGTGTGACAGCTGGCGGTGTGTGAGATCCTTACTGTCATTTAGACATTCATCATCACCATCATTTCCTACGTGATCAGCCCTGAGTTTGGCCTGCTGTACATACAAAAGCTGGAATGTTTTAAAAAGACCATCTAAAAGGAACATAGTCTTGCTCTAGCACCAAAGCACAAGTCAGTGAAATTATTGAAATGACTAAGACTGACCGGGACTGAGAGTTGTTGTTGTTGTTGTTGGCATCACGGGCAGTCCTGTCAATGACCTGAAAAAGTATGAGGTTGTTGATGGTTCTCTTTCAATAGAGCAGAAGAGACTACTTTGAATAGGTGTTTAAAATGCATAAAAAAGGGAGCGCAACAGAAGCAGACCTCCCTCTCGGGAGCTATACAACATGACTTTGCATGGAGGACAGTTTATTTACAGTTTCGGATGAACCCTAGATGGTGACAGGCGCACAACCAGAAGACAAAGAATATAGTACGGGACGAGACCTGTCTGAGAGATGGAGGCTATTTGCTAGTTTGGCTGAAAATGTTCTTCTCAGACTCCCTGCATAGAAGTTCCTGAGAACAGAGATGACTGGCATGTCAACAGGTAGATCATATGGACACAAACCTTGTGGTTAGCCTTCCATCGCGTTTATATCCCTTCACATCTGAAGGATATATTGCAAGTTTTTTTTTTTTTTTCCCCAATACCAAAGAACTAGACAAGCGGATGACCACATGCTTGCACACAGGCTAATAACCAGAAGGCTTCAGTAACCCTTACACAAGTACACAGACACAGAGTGAGAAGGGCAGTAGATTCTGCTATTATCCAAAGGCTATGAATCAGACGGCGTTAAAAAACGAATTCGCCTTCTAAATTACTCTCATAAAATCATACAGAAAAAAACACAATCCTGTAAAGAAATGAGGTAGTGCTGTTGACTGAGAAAATCTTGGAGCATGAATCAGTGTGATGTGTCTTTACAAGTACACCCAGAGTTGCAATGATAGAAAATCTACATGGACTCTTGGTGTGTTTTTTTTTTTTTTCGTCATTTTTGTTGTTTTTTTCTACATGAATTTGATACAGCAATCTTGTATATACAAATGCACCTTGAATTTGAGACTCCTGAGACACTGCGCTCCAGTCAGGGAATGTGTGTTTTTATTTGTATTGTATTCAGGTTTGCGTTTGCATGCATGTACTTTATGTGAAGATGAACTGATCTCATCAGGCTAAAGAGAAAGTTGACTTGCCCTCAAGTCGTTGCAAATCTATACTATTACTGTTATTTTTTTCCTGCATAAAATGAAAGATTTCAAAAAAGTTGTCTATGTACAGGTTTGGAATGACATGAGGGTGAGCGTAATAAAATGTTCATTTGTGGGACCACAATCCCTTTAAGTGGATAGTTCAGCCAAAAATGAAAACTTGCTGTTAATTATTCCTGTATCTCTGCTCTTCCACAAGGACCGCTTAATCAAAGGTAGGCTAACTAAGCTCATCATATGCAAAAATGACCATTTAAACACCATTAGTTAGTTGTCAAAAGGTCCATTGTGTGGAGTATCTATCTCAGGTAAATAAAGTAGGTTATGAATTAAATCTAACTGAACCAGTTAGAAAGCAAACCTTTCCATGAATATTTGCTTTGCCACTTTATCATAATCAAAGAAATAGTTTTGGGCATTGAAATATCCGTGTTGGCTGTTACATAAGAAAATGTATCTGATGCTAAAAAATACAATTAATAAAAAATCATGCAAGCCTGCTGTAAACTGCTGCTCACAAGACCAAAATTTGTAGAAAGTCAGAAGCAGAGCCAGATTAGGAACATATTGGGCCCTGGGGCTGTAGATATAAACTCAAGTGCCCAATTTATTTTATCGCCTCACAAAAGTAGCTTTTTTTCGATTTTATTAATATTATTAATTTGGTAATTTATGTTATTATATAAACAATTTCCACTTCATTTATATTTGATTATTATAAATGTTTTCTATTTTATTAAAGTAGATGTACAAGCATACAAAATTTATTTGAACTTTTAAAATGTTAAAGGCTGCCATGCTGCGGTGGCCAAGACAGCGCTTCAGTTATGAGTCCATTCTGCATAAATCCGCCTATCCTGAGATCTCATACTGCACGTTAATAACGGATATTGTTTGAATCAAATTTTTTTGTTCTATGATGATCTTGGATAGCATACCTTTTATATATATAGTGGTTTTTCGCCTTTATTAAATAGGACAGCAGAGATGAGACAGGAATACTTGGGGAGGAGAGGGGGGAGAAGGATCAACAAAGGACCTCAAGCTGGGAATCAAACTCTGGTCGCTGTGAGCATCTCAGTGCTACAAGTCAGCGCACTTTATCACTAGGCTATTGGCTCAAGCTGGTTAGCCTACCTTTCACTAGACCATTCTCGCAGTAGAGCTAAAAGGAGGAATAGTCCTGGAAAATAAGGGACTTTTCTGGGAAAAAACAGGATATATGTTTATCCTTACTGGGGACTAAATAGGGCTATTTAACACTCTTAATGAGCTACAGCCACTCTGAGCCATAGTTTAGCATTTTCATTGTTTTTGAAGAGCAGCGAGCCAAAAGGAATACTTTAGCTCTCAATTCTTTTTTATTGTAACATGTTTTTTTTTTAACCTGATGAAGACCATGTAGGTTCAAATGTTGTTACATGAAAACATTTTGAAAGCTAAAGTGGCAGTGTGCCAGTTTTCTTTCAAACTTTTGCCACTGTGTTTTTGATCGAGCACCTGCCTTTAAGAATCCTAGATGTGCACACATTTCTGTTTCCAAAAGGAATACTTCACATTATCCATATGTGAAAGCATAATGCAAAGAGGCCTTTGCTCTTACTGTAAATCCTGGATGGCCTGAAATTAGCAGCAAATTTTCCTTTCTGGGTTAACTATCCCATCAAAATGTGTTTTGTTTTGTTGAGAAAAAAAAAACTAAACATTTTAAATGCACAGATTTGTGTGTGTTTGTGTATGTGTGGCAACCCTGAGACAGCAGGAGGTGGTACTTTGTGGCAGGGCAATCTTCTTTGACACAATGGATCTTCAACCATTAGCACTGATCTCAGATCAATCCCATGAATGAGTTACGTTTCCGTATGCAGGGCTGATTTTAGGATCCTTCGACCTCAGAGTAAGAACACTCCGACTTCATGTGTGCATGTAAACATATAAACCACTTCAGCACATTCAATACATGCACACAAAGAGGGATTAAAGTGTGCCACTGATATGCCATAAAATGCATATCCATGGATACTAGTGCTAAAAAAATATTCTATATGTACATACATATAAAATAATGGAACCAAAAGGTTGCAATAAAACAGCCGAGAGAGGAGGCGTGCGTGGCTACAAGAAAAAAATGGCAACTTCTCCAGCAGGAAGGTGCCACTTGGTTGGCCTCCTCTGTTGTCCTAGAACAACTTTTATTACATTTCTCTTCCCTCCAGCTTAGGGGTACACATAGCTGTGCGCCCCTGAGGTAGAATGCACAAGGCCAGAGCTGGTGAAGGATGAAGGGGAAGCGGGGAGACCCGGTGAAGGCAGGACCTTTCCTGTGGGACACAGTCTGTGGGCCCCGTTCTCCAGGGTCTCTGCCTTTGACCGAAGGGGTTTGGATGAGTGGAAGCCATTCGTAAGCCCCACTCCTTGGTTTTTGGCACCGATCGGTCCACTCTCGAATGGTCCATTGTGATTGGACAGTACTTCAGAGATGTGAGTGCTGGGGGTTGGGGATGGTGATTGAGTCTCATGGTTGTCCTCACTGTGAGGGCTTGATGGAGTTGCCTTCTCTCCAGGAGAAGGCTGCTGGGAAGATGGAGACTCCAGACAGAGCTCCATGTCGCTTTGTGGCCCCTGGTCAACTGTTGCGTTGGACAGCTGTGAATGCACGATGACTTCAGCCTCCACCTGGTTCTTGCTGAGGGAATACAACCTCTCCACGTGTCCACTCTGCAAATAAGGAGTATCACACATATATAATTAAGAAAAATATAATTATATACACAGTTAAAGTCCAAGTTATTGGTCCTCCTGTTATTTATTTAATTTTTTTTAATTATTTCCCAAATGATATTTAACAGAGCAAGTTATTTTTCACAGTATGTCCTATATTTTTTTTCTTCAGGGGAAAGTCTTAATTGTTTAATTTCGGCTAGAATAAAAGCAGTTTTTTATTTTTTAAATATAATTTTAAGGTCAATATTATTAGCCCCCTTAAGCTATTTATTTATTTATTTATAGCTTAGGGGTTATTTAGATTATTTACAGAACAAACCATTGTTATACAATGAAGTGCTTAATTATTCTAACTTGCCTAATTAACTTTGTTAAGCATTTAAATGTCACTTAGGCCTAATAAGACTTCAACTTCCATATATATATATATATATATATATATATATATATATATATATATATATATATATATATATATATATATATATATATATACATACACACACACACACACACACACACACACACACACATATATATATATATATATATATATAATTTTTCACATAAAGCATTACTACTGTGATCCTATTATTTATTTTTAAATTGTTAACAGGTTATTTGTTAACAGCAGCTTAACATAGAAGTTCTAGTAAATTGACTGTGTCAGTCAAGTTTTCAGAGTGAAAGTGCAGTTTAATGTGGTTTAATTTTCACTACTAAAAGTCCAAACACTGAAGAGCAAATCCCGCAGCTCCACAAGTCCCAAACTACTGGGAAAAATCTATACACACTCATTCACACACATACACTACAGCCAATTTAGGGGAGATGCAACTGAAAAATGCAACTGACCCAGCTGGGACTCAAACCAGCGACCTTATTGCTGTGAGGCGACGGTGCTAACCACTGAGCCACTGTCACCCCTGTTTATAATCTTACTTGACTTACCTAATTTTACTCAATATTTGTTTTCCAATATCAAGGTCATTTTATTTTACACTCTTCCATTGTTGAAAGTAGTCCCTTCATGCTGTTCAGTAAAAAATGACAAATTTACAATATAATTATTTTTTACAATGCAAATGATACCCTTAATGGAAAAATGGAAATTAAAACCTTTAATCTTAAGAACATATATTAAAATAATTTAGTCTGCTTGAAAATTCAAAAGAGTGGTGGGTATTGAAAATAAATGCACAATATTACATATGGATACACATTTACATTTAGCTTTACTCATTTAATGCCCCCTTGCTTTGTAAAAAAAATCTTACTGACCCCAAATATTTGAACATGTATAACTTTTACATGTATGTACACTGCCAGACCACTTTATTAGGTACACCCTAATAGTACCGGGTTGGACCCCCTTTTGCCTTTAGAACTGCCTTAATCCTTCGCGGCATAGATTCAACAAGGCACTGGAAATATTCCTCAGAGATTTTGGTCCATATTGACATGATAGCATCACGCAGTTGCTGCAGATTTGTCGGCTACACATCCATGGTGCAAATCCTCCGTTTTACCACATCCCAAAGGTGACTGTGGAGGCCATTTGAGTACAGTGAACTCATTGTCTTGTTCAAGAAACCATTCTGAAATGATTCACACTTTATGACATGGCGCATTATCCTGCTGGAAGTAGCCATCAGAAGATTGGTACACTGTGGTCATAAAGGGATGGACATGGTCATAACAATACTCAGGTAGGCTGTGGCATTGACACAATACTCAATTGGTACTAATGGGCCCAAAGTGTGCCAAGAAAATATCCCCAGCACCATTACACCACCACCACCAGCCTGAACCGGTGATGCAAGGCAGGTTGGATCAATGCTTTCATGTTGTTCACACCTAATTCTGACCCTACCATACATTTTCCAATTTTGGTGACCCTGTGCAAATTGAAGCCTCAGTTTCCTGTTCTTAGCTGAGAGGAGTGGCACCCGGTGCGGTCTTCTGCTGCTGTAGCCCATCTGCCTCAAGGTTTGTCTTGACCATGTTTACATTCCTAAATGAACTGAGTTGCTACCATGTGATTGGCTGCTTAGAAATTTGCATTACAGAGGATATGGAGAGGTGAACCTAATAAAGTGGCCGGTGAGTGTATATAATAATAATAATAGTAATAATTATAATAGTTACTTGATATAAAAGCTGTACACATCTTTCAATTCTTCCTTTATTTCCGAAAATTTTATTTTTCAGATTTCAGATTCTTACAGTAGAAATGGCACATATTTACAATACTATAATACACTGAATTTAGCTTGACTTTTCACATATTTAACAAACAATTTTTTCTTCCCTAATAAACCACATCAAATCAAAATGTTAAATTAATTGTCTGACATAAAAACTGAGTTATGGGCTGAAAATTGAACATTGTAGAAATGGAAGGAGGAAGATCCTAAACTGAAATGTCAATGAGTTTGTGTGGTACAATTCTAAGATGGCACTAGATCACAATTAAAACACAAAAAATTGGTTTTAAAAATGTCAACAGGGAAATAAAACAGTGGTAATAGAGAAGAGGAGATTGTTAAAAGTGTAATTTCAATGGTTTGTTTCCTGCTGCTCCTATATCTGAGGAGCTTTGAGAAGGACGGTAATTGGTAAAAGGTATGCAGATATCAGCTTTTCATTTCAAGTGTCACATACTAATTAGCTGTGTGTCTTCCCTTCGGTCTGCTTGATGGTAATTACTTTCTCTGTACACTTCCTGTCTTCTTGAGGCAGGATCTATTAGCCCCTTCCCCCATCACAGCACATTCATAAACACACAAGCAGATGCTCAAGGATAAAATCTGTTAATGTGAATTCTGTAATGGTCATTTCTACCCTGCTTTAGCTCACCTTATTGTTTTCTGAAGGAGGTCCCTCCAGAGCTCCATTGATAAGAGCAGAAGAATCCTCAGTTATTGTATCTCTGTATCGAGTGATCCTGTTGGCCCAGTTGCGACTAACTGATCCATTCCAGGCTGGCTAAGTTTGGAGCAGAAAGAAGAAACTGAAAGTCTGAAAACTAAGAGAGGAACTCATTCTCCTAGATTAACATCTTTTGTTAGCCTTGGTATTTTCCCTCACTGAAAAACCAGATGAGCTTCACATTTGCAATTACATGAAATGTGTGAAACAAATAGGAAGCACATTAAGAACGTGTGATGTGTGGTTTTGGAAAACTTTCATTCAAAAGCCATGTGATCACATGTGAACAAATGTGGGAACGTGATTAAATGGGTTTAACATGAAAGTCTTTCACATGTGACTTTAACATGGTTATACAGGTGAAGCTGTTTTTAATAGGACATACTGTAAGTAGACAAGCTCAGAACATTTCAGATGCCATTTTATTATTGTATTTAGCATCTTAAAAAGATAATTCACCCAAAAATGAAAATGCACTCTCTCTCAATTAGTTCTAAACATTTCTCTCTTTTTTTGGCTGGAATCTGGAAACCAGTAACTATCAATTTCCATAGCAGGAAAAAGATATACTCTCAGCAGAGAATATACGGGAATCAGAGAGTAAAATTCAATACCTTTTAAGACCTTTTCCATACATTAAAACCTTATAACCACTTTAGGTTTTAATCGGAAACACAGGTGAGATTTGTACTTAAAGTATATTTACTAAATATTAATATAAGAAACTAATCCAAAACTAAAACAATATTTTTATACTGAATAAAAATCTATTAAACTTAACTTAATTCAGCAGGTTGGCGCCTATAGAGCTGCAGAAATAATGGTGTTGAATTGGTTACTGCAATAAACAAAGCAGCATGCTGTCAAATCTGGTAGGATTTCATTGATTTCATAAACTGCACAGCATCCTGATATTCACAGATTTAATTCAGGCAAACTTTAGCATACAATCATACTTTGCTTAATCAAAAATTATATAAAATTCAATACCATGCAAAAGAGCATTTAAGACTTTTTAATACTTTTTCAAGGGCCTTAAATTTCTCTACGTTGATTTATCAACTTTTGTTACTTTTTAAGACTCCTGCTCAGAAATAAAGGTACAAAACTGTTGAAAACATTGAAAAACATTTGTTTCTTAAAACCAGGGCCAGACGGAATCTGTGGACGTTTTTTGCTTTTTTTTCTGAGAATTTTGGTAAAAATCTGCGGATTTCTGCAGAATTATTTTGGGAGTATCCAGCGGAGTATCATAACTAAAACCTTAATATATTAAATAAAAAGTAATAAATTACTGAATAAAAAGGGAATAATTCAGATTTACACATTTACTCAAGTAAATAAACAGAATTAATAATGGGCTAAAAATCTGCGGAATTCTGCGGAAAATCTGCGAAATTCTACGCGCGCAGATTCCATGTGGGCCTACTTAAAAGAATATATTAATACATAAAAGTTACAAATGTGTGCCTCAACAGGGTTGAACCAAATATCAAGTTCTCTGACTTTTCTCTGGCTGTTTGTGTGGAGCAAAGTCCTCCCTCTCCTATCTTTTAAACGTAATTTAGCTCAAAAGCTGTTTTTATAAACATGACATGTAGCTTTTCTGTCATCTACATTTTATCATCCACTCTTTGAAGTGGTCTTTTTAAAGTCAAAGCTCCTAAAATGTATATCACCCTAAAAAAAAAACTGGTATGTTGGTGCCAGTAGCCTAGCTCAGATCCCTTGCTGATCTTCCTCCTCTCTCTCTCCTCCTCATTTATTTCTGTCTCCCTCTACACTGTCCTTTAAAACAAAGGTGATTAAAGCTGATACTCCATGACCTAGACAAAATATATTAAAAAGTATTTTATTTAATGTCTGGAATAGAACTTTTAAAATTCCATGATATCCCAGAAATTCCATGAGCTGTGAGAACCTGACCTAAAGATACAAAATTGTACCCTAAAAGGTACCAATGTACACATGTAAGGTAAAAAAAAAGTGTTTCATTTGAAAAGATACAACCTCAGGGAAAGGTTTTATACAATTATTTCTAAAAAGTGTACTATGGAAGTCAGTGGTTACCGGTTTATCAGTTATCAATTAATTTTTCTTCGATTGATTTTTCAGGGGTCGCCACAGCGGAATGAACTTCCAGCCACAACCCAGTACTGGGAAACATCTATACCAGTGGTTCTCAAACTTTTTTCACCAAGTACCACCTTAGAAAAAAATTGTCTCTCCAAGTACCACCTTACGACGCTATTTTTTAACCAGTATTAAAAATAGCGTTGTGGGCCTAATTAAGCAGCTACAGGTGTGCACAGTTTAAAAACGATGCAGATTAATTCCTATTATTAAGAATATGTATTATTGTCATTAAAATGTGCTTTTAAAGGTTCATAAAAATGGCGCTGTTCTTAAAAAGTAAAAAGAAAACTGCTGCACTTAAATCTAAAGTATTCATAATAGCCTATTCATCAAAAGCTAGAAATGTTGCTTGGACCTCATAAATATAGGCTATATGTCATATTCATACACTTTTAGACAAATCTTGAAATGTTAAATGTACATATGACAGGGTTCATACAGGCACAGCCTAATGAAAATCAATTCCAGCACCTTTTTTTTTTTTTTTCAAGACTGACATGCTATGTATTGAAGACCTGAAATGTATTCTCAGCAACCCATAAAACATTGCATAGGAATAGATACACATAAAAACCATTAATAATAATAATTATATTTATTAATCATATATTAATAATATAATAAACCTGCACATAATGCTTGTGAAATCTTTTTTGTACTCAAGGAAAAATACTATTACACTGCTAAAATAACACAAATTTTAGTAAATAATACTAATATTAGGTAAAAGTACAAAGTACTCTTTTAAAAAGTACTAGTTGGTTACTTTTGAAAAAAAATAATCAGATTTTCATTATGAAATCACTTTTTTTTAAGTGTAAACCTGATTGAATGGTTTAATTGCTTAAATCTCAAAGCTACATGTATAGGAATTTGCACTAACAAAGGAAGTATGGTCGATTTTTCCTTTCATGACAATTAATCTTTTTTCAATAGCACTGGCAAAACTACCACATAAACGTTAAGGCCATAGAGACACTTTTTGCCCATTTTTTAAACAATATTTTCAAGCTTTGAAAGGTTTAACTAAAGTATATGGTAAAAATATTTAAATTTAGCCTTTTGTTTACATATTTTACACTATTTTGTTTTTACAATATGGCAAATTTGTTTCTTAAATAGCTGTACATCGCATGTAGATTTTATTTTACTTTTGATCTTAATCTAAAATACAAAAAAAAAAAAAACAAGTACACTGTCAGTAAAAAAATAAAACAAATGACTTCATTTTAATTGAGGTATTTGAAATATGACAACACTACATTTATCAAAGCAGTGTTTTAAGAGCCTTATTGTCAATCTTGATAAATAAACAATAAGTAACAACGAATTGTTTTGATTGTTTTGAATGCTTTAAGACAGATCAGAATACAGTTAAATGTATAAATCACACAAATACCTCATCCAGAAATATTTTCAGCATAATTCTTTTGTCGTAAAGAAATAAGTTCCACCTTTGCTAAAAGTAAGTTTCACTTCACAATACAGCCAAATAAGAAAAAGAAGACCATTTGCATTGTCATCGATCATGCATCAATCTAATTCTAAATACTTGACAACTTTGAATACTTTTGACTAAATTTAGTCAAGGAATAAAGATAAATAATGTCTACTTTAATAGTGGAGAGATCGCGATTGTATTCAATCTGAGCACACAGGCGATCATGAGAGGACTTGCAGTTCATTTGAAAAAAAAAAGCCTATTTAGGAGCTAGCATATCTGTTTTAGCGATTTGCGTACATGAATGCGCTCTCTCGTGTTAAAATAAAGCACTCGCCACATTTGCAGAAATGAGTAATTGCGCAATACCTCCATTCCCGCGCCGCCATTCAGAATGTATTTAGAGGAGTGACAAGTCAGAGGCGAGTCGACTGGCTGTCGGAGAGCGAAACGTGTATGTAGATCATCAAAAAGGCAGGAAATATGTCCGCGGTTTAATTACTCTGCTAGACATCTCTATAGTGAAAACATCCGAGAAGCATTATTCCAACAAAACTTTTGTTTTTAAGTTGTTTTCTGTGTCTCTGCAAAACAGAAAGCCTTTGTCCCGCCCTTACGTTTCACGCGACTAGAAAAGGTCGACTGTGATTGGCTACTTTTCATGTCAGTCAAATCACCCTTCAGAATCAATTCTTAAACTTCGGAAACTGATTTTCAGCAGCTTATGTCACAAAGCACTAAAATAAACATTCTAAGCACAGCGTTGTGATCGTACGCTTCACAAAACAGACAATGCTGACCATAGATGTTATATTACGCATCAAAGGATTAAAAGTGTTAATTGTTTCTTTCATTATTTGGCGATTCCTCCGCGTACCACTAGGAGGAAGCCTGCGTACCATTACGCTGAAACGATCGTCATAGAAGCGTCAGCCAATGAAATTCTGTCAGCAATAGGCCACTGTCTGAGCTGGTGTATTTGCATACAGCGATCTGATTGACTGACGCTTCCGTCGGCGCTTGAAAAGTTGAGCTGGTCCCAACTTCTGCAGCGAGGAACGCTTCTGAAGCGGCGCCGACGGATCCACAATGCAGTTCGCCAACGCCTGACATCACCCATTCAAAGTGAATGGGAAGCGTTGACGCTGACGCCCCGTGTGAATAGGGCGCTAGTGGTAAGCGTACCACAGTTTGAGAACCACTGATCTATACAGTCTCACAATAACACTACAGCAAATTTAATTAATTCAATTTACTTATAGCACATGTCTTTGGACTGTGGGGGAAACCAGAGCACCCAAAGGAAACCTACGCAAACACGAGAGAACATGCAAACTCCACACAAAAATAACAGCTGGCCCTTCTTGCTGTGAGGCAACCGTTCTAGCCATTGTGCTGCTATGGTTTTCACATTTGGGTGAACTGTCACTTTAATGCCAGGTGTAAACAGGGCCTGGTTTATGTAAACACATGGCATACTGTGTTCCTCGAGTCAATGACATTGAATTCTGAGCACGTATAACTTTACACAAGGTTAGTCAGAGTTTAGAATGACCAAATCTTCATTTAATTTTCAATCATAAATAGCCTTAATGTGTGATAGGAACTTCCAAGATTAACAAGAAAGTAACTCCAGGAACACGTCCTACTTGAGAAAACATTTTTATAGTACACTGTATTGCTGTAGATGATGGTATGGTTATAATTACAGTATCTCCCCTGTTATCAACAGTGCTTACCTTGGGTTCTGCAAGGCCATCATCAGCTGCTCCTACATTACCCATGAGACTGTGCTCCTCGCTGGGCTCTGTGAGGGGTCTGCTGGGCTCTTGAGCACTGGAGGGCATGAGGGTCTCCAGCTCATGGCAGTCACTGCAGTCGGGCACAGCAGCAGCAGCTGAAGCAGCAGGCACTGGACGATTACCCTTCCTGTACTGAGGACTCAAAGAGCTTGAGTCAAGCCCACCAGTAACATCCCTAACAAAGGCAGAGAGAAACATCATTAAACATGACTCAATGACTTGCAGTCAAAATGTAGATTCACCTGTATAAAGCTTCGGCAAATCGATGTCCTTGGGGTAATAGCTTAACAAAGACTTTCAAAAATCTACATAGAAAATAAAGATCTACAAACAGGTCATAAATATATTGATGTAGCAGTTACATATACATATAATGAGAGCTTTATGAGAAAGACTTCAGGTTTCACCAGCAATTTCTAGAATATACTCAAATAGTTCAAAAGCTCTTTCTTATTACTTTTCAAAGAGACTTGATCTATTTGGTAGCACCATCGACTTAGGAATACAAAGCACATAAAGCGATAGCTCTACAAAAGTTTCTTAACCCAAGTCTGAAAAAAAACCCCCACAAACCTACTACCTTTATTTTTAAAGAAAAACATGCATACTCAGCAAGGATGCACACTGATCAAAAGTGTCATTGAAGGCAGAAATCCAAATTTTCTTCAGCAAATCGGAGTATTAGAATTCACTGTAAAAATGCAGAGTTCCACACAATGTTTACACAAACATATGTTTTATGCAGCCTATGCCCTTCCAGCCTCAACCCAGAAATGGGAAACACCCATACACAATCATTCACACTCACACATAGCCAATTTAGTGTATTCAATTCACCTATAGTGCATGTCTTTGGACCGTGGGGGAAACCAGAGCAACCAGAGGAAACCCACGCCAACATTGGGAGAACATGCAAACTCCAGACAGAAATGCCAACTGACCCAGCTCGGACTCAAACCAGCAACCTCCTTTGTTGTGAGGCGACAGCGCTAACCTCTGAACCACCATGCCACCACAATTGTATTGATTCTGTTCCTTTTAAATAAGTATAAAAAGTTTGAAAACGCAAGAAACATTTTTTTGAGTGTAATATGACTGCTAAAAATCAGGTTTGCATCACAGAAAGACTACTCCACAACTAGACTACTCAACAGCTTCTTCCCACAGGCTGTTAGAGCCCTCAACTCCATTTATTTAGTTAATTTACCCTGAAATTGCCCCGTTTAAATGATCAATACACTACAACAGTGTACATCTTTTTAGGCCCAAACCCAATTCTACCCCTTAACCCTTCCTCTTCTCCCTACCCCTCATTTTGCATGTTCATGTGAAAGGATAGTGGTGTCCCAATTCTCTTTGGCTTGAAGATGTAGGGCTAAGGGGAAGGGCTAGATAGTTTTCATGGATAAGAAAATTTCCCGGAATAAACCAGCCAAAACGGCTGCATACGGAAAAAATATATACACAAATTAGTATTTTTTGTCATTATTACTAATGTTTAATTTTTAATAAAAAAAAGATGAATTAAAAACAGCTAAATTTCCCTATTTATAATCCAAAATCATAACTCCTGTATAGCAGTCCCACAACATTCTGTCACTCGATGACACTCGGATACCCTGTCAGAAAAGTCTAGTGGCTGAGAATGAGCTTTTCTACAGTGTCTGCTGTAATGTTAATGTTGTTTTTGTGTGTTTACATAGATGAATATGGCCATGGTGTAAATGCACAGTACAGTTACGATCTTATTGCCACATTAGATCATTATGATAACATGATATCGTTGCTTTCTGTGATTTCCTGAAGATAAATACCAAAAAAAAAGAGAAAAAACGCAACTGGAATAACTACAGTACAGCAGTCGCCATCGTCAATCTCGTATGAAGTAGGAGATCTCAATGATATATGATGACATGTGCAGGTGCTGTAGTGCCGTCCCATTTCTAAGAGGTACATTTTGAAGCTCTTCCACTTCACACTCCGTTTCAAGAGTCAAGGGGAAAGGGAAGGGTACAAAAATAGAATTGGGATGGGGCCCTACCTTTTTGAATATGTGTTTATCATTTATTTAGATGTAAAACTCCTCGTTTGGTTAAACATATGGTTGGACTATAATACTGTACTGCAGCTTTGAAATACCCCAACAAAAGAGAGCAAACAAATCTCATACTGCTTTGTCAGAAATACCCATATTTTCCCTTTTATGCACATGTGAATATTAAAGAAGTAGTCATTTCATCTAATGTGCTTGGCCGCAATTTGCCAGCTGGAGGTCCGGTACAACAGCACTCAAAACTCCTCAGCTACGAGTCTGATGAGTGCACATTAACCCAGCCTCACACAGCTTGTCAAATCAACCACATTAATGTCAATGTACACTTATGTGAAAGCTTTAAATTCTAAAGGTCACGCGTGTATAATGGCGACATGGCTCTATTCAGACTCTGTTAACCAATAATCACTGCGGCTCAACACAATTCTCAGAAGAAGGTGAAATGAGTTTCTCTCTAAATGCAAAAGCCCAGCAGACTCTATCTGCCTCTGTGGCTGTTCATTAAACCAGCAGAGCTCTAATAGAGCAAGAGCAATCAGCCATGACACTCTGTCATTCAGCTCTCAATACTCCACATCTGCCACATCTGCTTCAGACACACACTGGGAGATTGAGTGCTGTTATTCACCCATGGCTCATTTCAGACAGAAGGAACATCCAAAAGGTCCTTGAAACTTTAAGAATTTGAATGTAATTTAGGGAGGCTTTTTCACAGCAGCTTATTCATCTTGAACACCCTTTGGGGAAACCAGATTTATTATTTCATTTATTTTTTTGCCTAAGCTATCGCTGTTGCAGCCCCTTTTTGAACAATGTTTCCAAGCTTACACAATAAAACTCAGTGGGTCCTATTTCCCTGATAATGAAAATGTTATTGCATTACATATTATTAGTCTTGCTATTATTTTATTAACCATTATGAATTGGCTTTATGATATCAGAGTTTGGCAATTGTGGGTTATTTATTTATTTATTTATTTATTTTTTTAGATTTTTGTTTGCTCAGTTTAAAATGTTTGTCTTTATATATTTCAAGCAAGCATGTTTTTGTCTAGTCTTATAAATTTAGTTTAAGTTGTAAACATTTTTGTATTTAATTTGAAGTTTTTCATGTAAATTGCAGTATATATACACAGTATATATACACACTAGCTGACAAAAGTCTTGTCGTCGATCCTATTGTAAGAGCAACAAATAATATCTTGACTTTGAGTTGATTATTTGGAAAAGTGACAAAAGGTAGATTTTTCTTTTGAATCATCTGTTGAACTACATCCCAATCATCACATATACTGCATAAGAGCTATTGGAACCCACATAGACCCAAGATTCTCACAGAAAACAGTCAAGTTTGGTAAAGGAAAAATCATGGTTTGGGGTTCCATTTTCAATTGGTAATGTAAGAGATCTGCCAACATTAGCAGCCTTATGTGTCAAGACATTTGTGCTGCCCACGACATTACAAAGCACAGGAGAGGGCAAAAACGTCAGCAGGATAACACTCCTTCTCATACTTCAGCCTCCACATCAAAGTTCCTGAAAGTAAACAAGGTCTAGGTGCTTCAGGATTGGCCAGCCCAGTCACCAGATATAAACATTATTGAGCATGTCTGGGTTAAGATGAAGAAGGAGGCATTGAAGAGGAATCCAAAGAATCTTGATTATCTCTGGGAGTCCTGCAAGAAGGCTTTCTTTGCCATTCCAGATGACTTTATTAGTAAGTTATCAGAGTCATTGCAGAGATGTAGGATGCAGTCGCCCAAGCTGAAAAGTGAAAAGACTTTTGTCTAAGTAAAGTCAGACATTACAGTCCTAATTACATAATTAAAAATCAAGGCATGATCATATTTTATTTTGATAAAATAAGCGTAATCTAGAGGACTTTGCCTTTCATTTAAGTCACTTCTGATACCAAATGATCAACTAGAAGTCAAGTTATTATTTGTTGTTCCTAAAACTTGAATAGGCAACAAAACTTTTGTCAGGTAGTGTACAAAAGTTATATACAGAATAAGATATCTTATATATATATATAAGATATGTGTATATATATATATATATATATATATATATACACACACACACACACACACACACACACACACACACACACACACACACACACACATTTTTTTAAACCTATACTTAAGCAGAGCTAAATTTTAAGTTTTCATGTGTTTCAACTTTTTCGCCCAAGTGTATCACTGGAATATTTTGTTTAAACAAAATCAATAAGTAGTTAGTAGTCCAGTCTGTGTTATTTTGACTACCACATCTACTCTGCAACATTTCAGCCCATAAAGGCAAAAGCAAAGTAAACACTAAACTCCTACTTAGTATAACTATATGTAGAAGTTTATACAATAGAGTATTGGTTTAGCAGTAGTTTGATTAGTCTGCAGAGGAAAGTGATGTTTCCTTTGGGGAATTCCCATGTTTGCTCAAAGCCTTTCAGATGAGTTAAACAGAAGCTATAACACCTCTGTATAAACAGAGATAGGAGCCAGCTCCAAATTGGCAGGTTAGCTACAAATAGGTGAAATTTGAGCTCCAAATTGGCTGTATTGCTGGGGCTTTTGATTGGTTTATTTCAAGACATGTACATGTCACAGAGACCAATCTATTCAGTTTATTTAATGCCTACACCAACCTAAAACATAATTTAACCCTTACACTAACCTATTATCGTTTATTAAGTTGTACACCCAACCCAAATTAATTTATAAATCAAACTAATTTAAATTCTAATTTAACTGCTAAACAAACATGTATCGGGTGTCACAATCGCCTCACAACAAGAAGGTCACTCTGCTTGGATTAGTTGCCATTTCTGTATGGAGTTTGCATGTTCCCCCTTTGTTCACGTGGCTTTCCTCCAGGTGCTCTGGTTCTCCCGTCAGTCCAAAGAAATGCAGTATAAGTGAATTGGGTAAAACTGCATAAAACACATGCTGGATAAGTTGGCAGTTCATTCCGCTTTGGCGTCACCAGATTACTAAAGGGACTTAGCCGAAAAATGAATGAATAAATGAATGAATGACAGACACGCACCAGATTCCAATATAAGTGTCGTTCAGGAGGGTGCTCTCAGCAGGGATTTCTCAAAAACCATCAAATCACAATTTCAAATAGACATTGCGCTTATAAATAATCTGCATATTTAAACATCTAAACAACAACAGTACATTTTGTACAATCTGTAAACTCTGAAAAATACATTATATGCTTTAAAAGCCCCAAACTATAGTGAGTTTAGACATCCACTTGGCACTCGGATGATACACACAGGAAAAGAGGCTGGATCAGGGATGATAGTGCCAAAATTTTGCACAGCTCCTAGCCAATCAGATTTGAGAACACCAGAAAGAAGTGTTTTATAAATACATTTTCCTGTCATTGTTGTACATGGATTAACTAAACATGTTTTTTGTTTGTTTGTTTTATTTAAATGTAGGCATTTCAAGCTGTCTGTGAATACATACAGAGACTAGGATGGCAAAAGGTATTTCCTGTTTTTTAAAAAAAGTATATTTCAAGAGTTCACACTTAGCTGATAATTGATTATAAAGTGAGCTTGTCATGCTGTCCTGGGAGAGAGCCCTGAGCTCATTAGGTCCTTAAGCCCGGGGCTCTCTCTCGTTTGAAGGGGAGAGGGGAGTTTGAGCTCAGGTAGGTCTCGAGAAGGTAGGTCAGGTAGGTCCTGTGTTCAATCATAATCACGTGCTCCTCTCGAAATTAGTATAAAAATAAACTTAATTTTTATTGTTTGTTTTATTATTATCATTTCAAGCCCTTTACTATGTCTTACCTTCATTCATTCAATTGAAAAAATATAAATATTTTAGAGTCTTGTAAGGTTTTATAAGGTCTAATAAGGATTTTTGGTCTCTGTTATCAGAAAAAAAACAACAACATTTGAGCATACTCAACTCCACCAAACATGTCATCTACAGTGGATGCTTCCTTTAATCTACAGTAAATCTGTCAGTCATCATTGACATCTGGGGAATCACTTGTTGACATCTTCAGTCTCATTTGCAGGTGATGCGGTTGTTCAATTTGACTATTTTGCTTGAGTTCATTTCTACATCCTGAACATCTCATTACAATGCATTTTTCAGGCCTTCCTGTCTGCTTCTGTCTAAATCAACAAGTTAGTTTCACAGAAATTATTCATTGTTTAACCAGGGAGTGCTCGCATGTGTAAGTGATGATGGAATATTCAATTTTGAGTGAATTATTTATACTGACTGTAGCTTTCAAAACTGAGGCTATGGTGAATTTGAGAGTTTGGACAGGAGCATACCGTGTTTTTCCATTGCGGAAGCTGATACACATGCAGAGCAGGATGCAGAGCAGACCGAGACACACTCCAACTATGATACCAGTCACAGCATGAATATCCAGCTCTACAGTAGAAACAGAGAGAGAGAGGGAGAACATGATAAAAAAAAAACAGGTGAATGGAAATAAAAGAATCTGTAATATATTACAGAAATCAATCATTAGGTAAGGATAATTAAAGCTCACAGTAAACCAAACTTACGTATAATAATGGGATATTAATTATAACAGAAAGCATGATATTAATTATAACTCATTATATGACTAGTGTACGCAAGTCTGTGTGAATTTCTACAGCCAACTCTCCACAGATGATGTGTGTGTGTGTGTGTGTGTTTGAGGCTGGACTGAAACACTTCACACTCCCTGTGGGAGAGCTATTAATTGAGTGTCAGTGATGGGCAGAGGCAGATGGCAGTCTTTCCACACACAACACACACACACACAAATACACAAACCCATGTGCGCACACACACACATAAAACAAGGCTTTTGCAGGCTACACCAAGTCAAATTTAAGACTTTTGAAGACAATTTATTCTCATTAAGAATAAATGTTGGTCTCTTTTGGACTTAATACAGCTAACTACATCTGGACTGGTAAAAGAAATGAATTACAAGACCACAAAATTAAAAAGAGAGAAAGAGAGAGAGAGATAGAGAGAAAGAGAAAGAGAGAGAAAGAGAGAGAGAGAGGGGGGGGATATTCTAAAGTACTGTGGGAGTATTTCAGTGAGTATTAGAGACGCACATAAACATAGGGAAATTAAGTCCTGTTTAAATCAAGAACACAATACTTCATTCACCCCATGGAAACACACACACACACACACACACACACACACACACACACACACACACACACACACACACACACACACACACACACACACGTGATGCAGAAACAGAAAACATTAACTACCATATTAAATTGGGGTTTACAATCCCTAGGCAATTGAAAATAATACAGACACACAAAGTACAAAACCGTGATAATTTTAGGTTCAAGGATTTAGGTTCAAGCTTACATTTTCTGAAAGCAAATGTTCACATATCAGCCAAGTTTTTATTGCAATTCTGTTAGTGAAAGAATATTGCAAGGTCATGGGTTTAACTCAGATTCGATGTACACCTTGAATGCAATGCAAGTCTCCTTGAATAAAAGCGTCTAGCAAAAGCACATGTAAGCAACCGTAAGATGGCTGTAATATTTTGACATTTATTCAACTAGTAATTATGGAAGATTAGCTCTTTTTGCCATGCTTTTTAAGTATTGTGTATCTCTAGTGTAAATAGAAACATTTGCTCTATTTCCATTAAAACAAATTAACAGTAAAAAGACACTAGCGCTCACAAGTCTTGGGTAAGACTTTGCGTATATTTGCATGATTCATTTAACTAATACCAAAACGAAAAAGAAATGCCTTTATGTGAAATAGAAATATATTTATACAACAGTTCTGTCTAGTTCTCGAATCTGATTGACTGATAGCTGTGCAATTTCTCAACACTCTTACAGCCTCTTCAGCCTTCTGTATTACTCCACCCACATAGAGTGACACCAGAGGAATAATCTCACTACAATTTGACAAATATCGCTGCTGTTGGACAACATAATGTACCTCTGACGTTTTTTAGGCAAGAATGTAGCTGTTTAGATTGCAACTATGCAGTTTATTTATAAGGGTAGTGCCTATTTTAAATTTGTATAACTTCTGAGATTCAGTGCATCGGCAGCCATCAGCCTGTCATTGAGCAAAGCAAAGACGGTTGACGTTTCACCACAAGATGGTGAGAGAGACCACATTATAATTTATTAGGGGAGAAATACAGCGTTTTCTACAGCTGAAAAAATCATTACGAAACAGGCAAGTGATATTCAATCTAAGTCGACCTCTCTTTTATATTTTGTACTGCTGTATTTCTACCATAGTAATCTGATAGTGTTTGCTTTGCTTTGGCTTTTTGGGGGTTAACTATTGTGATATCCCAATTGCAAAAGAGAAATACTGGGAAATCTCTGTAGACTGCTGGCATTTCATGCTTTTTAACCTTACAATCTTAAAATGTGAGCAAAATGTTATGTTATCACTTTAGACATTATGCTAGAGAATCATTGAAATACTAGCTCTAAAGTGACGTTGTAAAGTAATAATAGTTTCCGCTGTTTTGAAGTGAAATGCAGATGTCAATGAATGGTGGAAGAAAGTAGTTCTTTGTACAAAAGGATTTTTAAGACTCTCCGTGTTTGATTTTCTTTTCATATAGATAATTATGCTGCGAAACTGTTGTGTAAATGCAATATCACACTTGTAGGAGTGCAATGTGGCTGTTTATCGTCACTGGTTGGACACTAAGGCACTTGGCCTGCAGTCCCACCAGTGCCAATATAAAGCCATATTACACTGCTACTAGTATATATATATATATATATATATATATATATATATATAAAGTGTGTGTGTGTGTGTGTGTGATGAACAGTGTAATTAATTATATGGATTATAAGGATGAAAGAGAAAAAAAAAATTTAAATGTAAAAGTGAAAGTGAAAAAACTGATAATCTTCATGTTTCGGACAAAAAAGGTGACCATAAAAAAGTATTACAACCTTAAAAAATAAAACCTGAACAAAAAAAAAAAAAAACAATCCATTGCACAAATAGTGAATGCATACCATATTTTTTGGGAGGTGTATAGACATCCTTCACGGGTGAATATGGTCCCACTCCCACCTCAGTGCAGGCCCCCATCTTAAAATAATAACGCGTCCCGCTCATCAGGCCCGGCACCTCTGCACTAGTCACGTAACCTGAGGGACGAGGAAGAGTCAGAGCCACAAGAAATGACAAAGTACAACACCATTGGCTAGTTTGTGTGTGTGCAGACTGACCATCATGTGTGAGGTTTGTCCACTGGTAATCTGGATGGCTGATGTTGGGGGTGTAAAGAATCCAGTAGGTCAGGACAACTCCATTAGGCTCCAGCGGAGGGCGCCAGCTCACCAGAACTGAGAACGAGTCCAGAGCGCTTAACTGCATGTCCACAGGAGAGGAGGGTCCTGTCGGAAAACACACACACACACACACACACACACACACACACACACACACACACACACACACACACAATTGAACCACAAATAATTGTGAATTTTAATCATCTGAAACTTTTATTTCAACTTATATAATGCAATTAATTGCAGCAACATATGTACAAATCATAGAGAAATTTGTATTTGGTGCCAAATGAAAGAAAGATTGCACATCTCCTTTTTATTTATTTTATTTAAAGGGATAGTTCACCCAGAAAGAAAAATGATGTCATCATTTACACACCCTTCAAACCTTTATGAGTTTCTTTCTTCTGTTGTAGACAAAATATGTTTTGAAGAAAGCTGAAAACCTGTAACCATTTGTTTTTCCTGTTATGGAAGTGAATGGTTACAGGTTTCTAACATTTTTCAAAATATCTTCTGTGTTTAAGAGTAAAAAGAATCTCATAAAGGTTTAAAACCACTAGAGTATGAGTAAATAGTGTTTCAATTTTTCAATTTTGGGTGAAGTATCCCTTTAAAGGAATTGCTGTGGGGTGAGGAGAAGGAAAATACACATTTAAATAGTTTGTAGGCAATAGATGTACTCAAGATTAATATGAGGTACATATTAGGTAAATATAAATAAAATATTAATAATATGAGGTAAACATTAAGAAAAAAATCTAAAATATTAATAATCTGAGATACATATTAGGAAAAAAATTTTCAAATATTAATAATATGATGTAAATATGATGTATATATAAATAAAAAAAATCTTTAAAATATAGAGTAAATATTTGTATAAGTAAGTCAGCATGATACGTCCCCTTTAAATCATATAGTGTGCTAGATGCTAAAGCTAAACAAATAATACAACCATACAAATGTGGTCACATTAGGTATGGGCTGTGAGTTTTACTGAGATTCTGTGAGTATAATATCACGTTTTAAACAGGGAAATGTCTGTTTTTAAAGTGGCCACTTTTTTTTCTCCCTTCAGGAGCAGATAAAGATGGTCTCAGTGAGTGTGACACTAAATGGCAGTGTCTGTGCACCCTGCCATCGCTTGGCCAGACTGACTGACAAGCTGAAAACTCTTGGCCAACAAAAGGGGCAATTCCATCTGGGCTTTTAATTAAAGCCAATTATCTCCTTACGCCTCTCCCTATTAATCCCCTAACTGTTAACCTAACACACACAGACACAAACACACACAAACTCACAGGATGCTCACAAATTCGCATTCATTCATCACTTCCCACGCAGAAAAAAAAAAGCCTACAGAAATTCACGCTTGTACACACATTATAATTAAAGCTCTCGCTCACGCATGAACACACAAAACACTGCCAGATTCACCAGAAACTAAACTCACATGTGCGAAAAAAGCTGCTGCTTCTTTTATTTATTTATTTTTTGGAGTAAAGGAGACCATGTGTAGCATCTTCAACTTTCTTTTTGATATTTCCTTCATATGTTCAGTATAAAGGTTGCTTCACATCGTACTCACTGTCTGGAAGTGTGGACTCTTCCACTGTGCTGCTGAAAGGGCCGCTCATATCAGCTCCGTTAGACTGCACAGCGATTTCATAGCTGGTGAAAGGCTTTAGTGATCCCAGCAAAATCTCCTGAGAAGAGCTGAAACATAATGAAGAGGAATACACAGCATGGGAAGATGTTCGTGGGAAAGACCAATGGTTTATGAAGGACTTTGATATTTAAATAAATATGTTTTCAGTACATTATTTATTACTGTAATGAAAATCAAGTTTGTATTGTCTTTTTAGTAAGATTTGAAACACTTCTTCCACACTACCATTATCCAAGTAAAAAAACAGATTCAATTAGTCTAAAGTGACTGCAAAATACATTTTTAATGCTACAAACTGATCTCTTTTGTAAAAAATACTGAACTTCTCAAAGAATGTAGCATGGTTTAAACAACAATAATTATATTTGGTAATTTTTTTTTTTTTTTTTGATTTCATGAAGTAGTACAAGGATTTCTGAAGAAATCTGAGCATGTGAGAAACTTTCTTGTATGTGTACATTCTTTAAAACGGTACCTGGTATAGTATGAGACCAGCGATGCGTTGCGAATGCCTGCAGGGCTGCAGCGTATTGTATAGTTGATGATACGCACATTGCTGAAGTGTGGCTTCTCCCAGCGGAGCCAGATAGAGGTGGAGCTGTTCGCTCGAGCTCTGACACTGATGGGTGGAAGTGGTGGAAGAGAGTCTGTCGTGCGCACTAAACAACCACACACACACACACACACACACACACACACACACGCATATTATTTATTGACTTTAAGAGACAGTTTACCCAAAAAAGAAAATGTATGGACTATTGCTGGTCAAAAATTAATTGTGATTAATAGGATCCAAAATAAAAGTTTGTTTTGACATAATTTAAGTGTGTGTACTGTGTGTATTTATTATCTACACTACCTGATAAAAGTCTTGTTACCTATCCAAGTTTTAGGAAAAACAAATAATAACTTGACTTCTAGTTGATCATTTGTTATCAGAAGTGGTTTATATGAAAAACAAAGGCCTCTAGATTACGCTTATTTCACCAAAATAAAATATGATCATGCCTTGATTTTTAGTTATTTAATTAGGACAGTAAGGTCTGATTTTGATAAGACAAAAGTCTTGTCACTAAACAGAAATAATATACAGTAAAGAATATAAAGTCATGGTGCAGTGGAAAAAGAATTAATACTGTGTATGACTCCCATTCTTGCAGGACTCCCAGAGTTCATCAAAATTCTTTGGATTCATCTTCAATGCCTCCTCTTTCATCCTACCCCAGACATGCTTAATAATGTTCATGACTGGTGACACAATATATGAATTTTATATATATAAAAGACATATATTGTGCAAAAAAATTATTTTGGATGTGTTTAATCGCAATTAATCTTTGCCCAGCATTAGTATGGATCCTTTACACATTTCTGGGTTTCTCAGCAGCGGAAGTTGTCATAAACTTGGAGCACAGTAAATCGGAAAATGCAACAAATACATTTTTTCTTTCCTTTTTCCTGATATAATAAATGAAAAATTCAATGATAGCATTTTCATGACTTAGACATGCCTATAGACAAGGCATTAGAAGCACCTCACTTAAGCGGTAAATCTTTTTTTTTTTTTGTCATTTGATGCAAAGATGATGTACAGTAATACAAAGTATAGCTTTATAAATGTACATACGATAAAGAAGAATAAATTAAAAACTTTCAAGAATTTAAGATGCTGATGGCAGCTGTCATAACAGTCTTATGAAAAGGGTCCACCGTTCATTTACTTTTTCAACTCTATGCAGTAGGGTATTATAAAAGATTTTCTAGCTATAACTGTGGTTCTTGATGATTAAAAAATGCAGGTAACAGTAACAGTTCCACCAAAAAAGAAAATTCTGTAATTTTCTTATTTTTTTAAATATAATTTTTCACTGTTTATTTAGATAAAACATATTCTGAAGAATGACAAAAACCAGGAGCCATTGACATCAATAGTAGAAACAAAAATTCTATGGAAGTCAACAGCTGCTGCCTTCCAACATTTTATAAATATATACATTTTGTTCAACAGAAGAAAGAAACTCAACCAGGTTTGGAACAAGTGGAGGGTGAGAAAATACTAAAATAATTTCTAATGTTGGTTGAACTCTTTAACAGCTACCAGCACTTTGAGAATAAAAAAAACAAACATATATTGTCAAAACAAAATTAATACACGAGGCTAAGGTATCACCAGAAGCTATGTTTTTTTTGGACTCTCAAAGTGCCACTAGTGACTAGTATTTCATAAAATTACCAAAAGTATTTCATTTTTAGGCAAGTTATCAATTTAAATCTTCAGGACAGCTTAATATGATTTGATCTACTATTTTATTTTCATCCAATCTACACACACCTCGTGTGAGCTTCTCCGTCCTTCCCTTCCAGACAGCAGGATAACCCTCAGTCTGCTTATTAAATGCCCAAACCCTCACCTCATACAGACGATCAGGAGCTGAAAGAAAATGATACAAATAATGATCATCCAGACTGGTCTAGACTGGTCTGTTGAGCACAAATTGCAGTTTAAATAAAAACTAATATACTGTCTGAAGTCATTGTCTATCATCCAACAAAGTCAAACCTGACCTCCAGCTTTCCATTTTATAACTACTGGCAGTGCCAGAGAATCACTCTTGATGTCTAAAATTTCAGCTTCCTGTATAGTTGTATGCAAGGGCACAGTAGAGGATCGCCTCTGTCCAGGGGTCTCATTTATAACACATTTATCAAGTTCGTATGCACAAATCAATGATGGAAATATGTGTAAACCACATCCCTTGCAAAAACTGATCTATAAAGAACAAACTTGATGGAAAAATGTGTGCAGTTTTAAGTAAACTATTAAGTAAACACATTTAACAACCTTAAAATGTATTTAATTGAACCACTTTAAATCATCATACACAAAAATATTATGATTGGTGTTATTTCAAACTATTTATTTAAAATGAGCTGAAATAACTCAATTCTTGACCTTTTTTTGTGGGACAACTTAATAACTTTATGTCCAATCCACCTACATTTGTAAAACTAACAAGTTAACTTGATTCCTTCATGTTGTCCCAACACACATTGACTGTGTGCAACCCAGCATTTTTTTTAACAGTGTATGAGACATAATCAGTAATAAAAAAAACAAATATTTATTCTAGTGTACATTCACTCCTGGTACATTTTTTAAATCAGACCCCTGCAGTTTTACCTCAAACAACTAATCAAGCTCTTCACATTAATTGGAGCAAAATGAAAGACTTTGCTCAGTTCTCACCAAGGCCCGTGACCTCGTGATGTTTAATTCTCTTCCTCAGCTTGATCTGCTGAATCCTCTCGCTGATCACAGGCTTCTCCTCATTGGTCAGCTCGTCTCCGTCCGCCTCCCGCCAGGAAAGCTTGTAGCCGGTGATCTGCGTGTGATTGGGCGGCGACTGCCATGTGACATGGAGGGAATGCATTTTGGCTCTCACTTTGAGCTCAGTGGGAGCAAAGAGCACTGTGGGAAAAACAACAGAGCATGTGAGAATGGCAGTGTGTGTTTTGTGTTTGCAAACTACACAACAGTAGTAAAGACTCCAACATGTTTATAGCAGGGGACTCTTATATGACATACTAATTACAGTACTATTATAAACGACTGTAAAGAAGCTGATATGTTTATCCCACCATAATAATTCAAATTGTTACAAGTTATTATTATTTTATCTATGTATAAATTGATATATTTCACATTTTGAGAAACAGCTTTCAGGTATTCTGGAAAACAAATTATCAGCACAACTCTGCCTGACAATGTTAACAAATAATAACTGGGCATCAAATCAAATATTACAGTGATTTCAATAGCATTGTGTGGCACTAAAGACTGGTGGAATGGCTGCTAAAAATTCAGTGCTGCCATCACTTGTATGAAGTACATTTTAAAATATATTTAATTATTTAAAAAACTGCTATTTTAAATTGTAAAAAATATTTTTAAATATTTTAATTTTGATCAATAAAAGTGAACCCATACTTTGTACAGTAGTGTTTAAAAAAAATAACAAATTGTTTATACTGGTATCTAATATTACATGCAGACACTAAAATAATATAGTAATATAGACAAGAAGTTAAACATGGACATAAACAATCCTGGTAGATGTGAGATGAATGGAGAGGCACCACTGCAAATAAGTTCAGGGTTCATACTCTTGGCCAAATTCAAAATTTTCCTCTTCCTTACTTTGACTGACTAAAAAGCTGAAATTTCATGATCTATAATAATCAGAAAAAACAAGGTGCATACTATTATAATAGTTTGACCTTGACCATAATTTTTCAATTTAATAGGCATTATTAGAGCAGCAATGGAAAATTTACCTCAGATTTTAAATTTTTTAAACGAAACCAGAGTATCTAGTCTCTGTAGTGATCATTTTGGTAGACAGAGTCTACCAAAGATTCCCTTGTATATTTACTTTGGTTACAGGTATAGTTTGGTGTTTGCATTTGACTTAAAGGGACAGTTCACCACAAAATTACAATTCTGTTCTCATCACCAGGCTAATACCATCCCTACAGCAATGCATGGACTAGACTAGTCAGGATAGAGGGACAATGACCCAAAGCACACTGCCAAAATATCATTGGAGTGGCTTTACAACAACTCTGTGAATGTTCTTGAGTGGCCCAGCCAAAGCCCAGACCTAAATCCTATTAAACATCAACAAAGAGGAATGGGCAAAAATTCCCGAAGACAGGTATGCCAAGCTTGTGGCATCATATTCAAAAAGACTTGAGGCTATAATTGCTGCCAAAGGTGCATCAACAAAGTATTAAGCAAAGGCTGTGAATACTTATGTACATGCGATTTTTCAGTTTTTTTATTTGTAATAAATTTGCAATAATTAAAAAAAAATCATCATTATGGGGTATTGTGTGTAGAAGTTTAAGGAAATAAATTAATTTAATCCATTTTGGAATAATGCTTTACCATAAAAAACATGAAAAAAGTGAAGTGCAATGAATACTTTCCGGATGCACTGTAGGTGACTAAAAACATGATACAGTATAGAAAAATTACATTTTAATAACAGCCAAAAATAAACTGACAAACAAAAGCGCCTGTTATTCCATTACTTGAACAAAAAACTGCCTGACATTGAATGTCTGGAAAAGAGCTTCCAGAAATTCTGTGACCTCTGGGAAACCTGTAAGTTTAACCCTGAGCGAGTTAAAACGGATACTGCATCTGTGTGCATTTATGTTTGTGCACGTTTACTCACCCTGAGTAAGGTTTGGTGTGTGGTGTGAAGCCCACTCAGAAGACTGACTAAAACCAGCCCGTGTTCCTGCAGAAATCCGGAGCTGGTACGCTTGATTTGGTTTCAAATCCCTAAGAGTCACCTGCGTCTCATTTCCACCCACTTCCACAGAGTATATGTGATCCACTGCAGGGCACACACACACACACACACACACACACACACACACACACACACACACACACACAAACACGTGCCAGAAGATAAGTACGCCAGTGAAAATCATTTCTGTAGCCGACTGATAAAGCAGCATGAACAATGGATGTCTGAAATGACTTTGCTTCGTCTCTTATTCAGTGTCACAGGCCATCAGAGCGAATCTGTCTTTTGTTCCACCTTTATTACTGTTCATTAAGCATCCAGAGCTCTAATAGAGCTGAGCAATCAGGCATGTCTTTGTCGTTCCTCAAAATACCCCAGACATGTCTGCTGCACTGCTAGTGACAAAATTAAACGCACAAAACTAAGAATTTTACAGGCAACGTGTGTCAAGGCAAAACCTCACACACAATCCTCTTTCACACACTCGTTCATTTACTAATTTAAAAAGCCTCTAAACTTTTAACTTGAATGAATCTACTACATGAATGAATAACTACACGCCTTGTGTAATCGGAGTGAAATTTGAGAAGTCAAATGCGATCATTCAAGTGTGGGCAATTGATGCATTTTGTTGTACTTGCAATCTTACACACATTTTATGCAAGTAGTCTGCTATATTATTATAAAAACCCTTTTGATTTAAAGCTATCACTATTTCATCTCATTATTTGGACATATAAATATTAGAAATTACAACCAATTGCATGTTTCTGTGAGTGTAGTCTTTTGTATCTCACTATATGAACATTATACTATAAAAGACTGATGTATTAAAGGGATGGTTCACCCAAAACTGAAAGATCAGTCACCATTTACACACCCTTCACACATCATTAACCTGTTTAAGTTTCTTTATTTTGCACTACAATAAATTATTTTCTTACTTCAAGTTGTTGTCTTATTTCTCATCCAAATATATAAACATTTTTAGTTCAAGCATTTTATAGATGAGCAAAATATATAGTATTGTTTAAGTAATAATATGTAAAAATTTCTCTTTAAATTAAGCAAAATAATCTGACAATGAGGTAAGTGCCAAAACAAAAAACAAGAATACTTTGCTTACAATCTGGCAGATTATTTAGTGTGTTTTAAGGAAAAACTCAGTTAATTTTGGCATATCATTTCTGAAAACATAAAATTAAATATAACAAATAAATAATAAATAATTAAATAAAATAACATATTTTTGCTTGCCTAGAAAATGCTTCTTGATTTAAGAACTTTTAGATATTTGAACTGGAAACAAGACAAAAATAAACAAAAAAGAAAAGCATTTTATGCAGTGTGTTGAAATCAAAAGAAGACATTTTGTAAAATGTTGGAAACCACTAACCAATGACTTCCATACAATTTTTATTCCTATCATGGGAGTTAATGTTTACAGATTTCTAACAATATTTAAAATATGTTCTTTAGATTTAAAAAAGAAACTCAAAGGCTTGGACCCACTTGAGGGTGTGTAAATATCAAGTAAAGTTTCCTTTTTTGGTGAACTTCTCTTTAAATATGACAAAATACAACACAAAAGTATCCATATTTTTGTCTGACCGCTCAACAAAGCAATGTAATAAGATCACATTTTTAAAAATCTGAATATTATTTTATGCGTAAGGTCAGTGGGTGGCTCTTTTACCCTGCTCCAGTGCTCTATAATCGATGCGGTAGCGAGTGATGGCTCCGCGGCTTAGCTGTGAGGACAGAGGCAGCCACATCACTCTGATATCAGTGGGAGACGTGCTCAGCAAGGACAGCTGCGGAGAAGCACTGGGAACTGCAGAGAACACAAAGCAAACAAAGATTTACAAAACAGCAGTGGCAAATGATGTACTATACACTACGGATTTACACTCTGCGGATATATACTAATCTATCAGTAAAAGGTTATTTTGTCATTGAGCTTGTCTAATGACCCCTCCTACTTCTCTACACAAGAAAAGCGAGAATATTAAAGAGCTTAAACTTGAAATACTCAAAATAAAAAATACATTTTAAAATAATCACCCTGGTATTTGAAGTACACAAGAAAACATTAGTGTGCATATACTACTTGCACTTTTTTTAACTACAAAATGGCACCGGATAGGTCAAAAGACCATATATGTACCAGTGCTTAATTTTGTAAATTGCAAGGTTCCGGAACAGATCAGGGTAACGGGTCTGGCAAGTCACCAGATGAGGGAGAGGTGCCACAAACCAAAGTGAAGGCCAGGGGTGGGGATTGTTAAAATGAGGTAAAGTCTAGATAGAATTCACAGCATGCCGGAAGTGCGATATGCACATCAATATAACTGCATTTTTTATGACACTCTATTACAATAATTAACATTTTTACAGTACTTTGACAGTTGGGTTTAGGGTTAGGACAGGCATTTAAAATAAAATTTACTGGCAAATTTATTAGATAACATAAATAATACTTGGTACAACTTGTTTTATGGTACTGTGACAGTTGGGTTTAGGGTTGGGGTGGGGTGCACCGGAGTGCATGTGTCAAGGCCCTAACCACTACACCACTGGCGCCGACGAGCCACATTCATATCTGATCTAGCAACAACCGTAAAAAGAGGTGCCGGATCAGATTTCAGAGGTGCCAGATGCGGATCCGGCTTGTTCCGACACAAATTAAGCCCAGCGTATTTCAGAAGGGAATTTTTACAAAATAATAACACAGTTTAAAGTGTTTAAGCTCTGAAGTGCTGTGAAGAGCATAGCAAACCAACAAGTGGTGGTAAAAGTCTAACTGTAAATCCACATTGGCCAATCAGAAGCCCGAAATAATGAGTAATCAGTTTCAGTAGGCTAATCTCAGCAGGCACAGGACGTCAATATGACTTCATGGGACATTTCATTTTGTTTGGAAGTGAAAATCTGGTTGACGTCAGAGTTAAACGTCAGGCCGACGTCAATGCCGAATCGATGTTGCATTTTGGTTACTTTGCAACGCAAGCTAACAACAACAAAATATCAACATTTAATGATGTTACAGCTTGATTTTGTGTGGATGTTATCACTATGACGTCTGTCAGACATTGGATTTTGGTTGCCATATATGACAAATAAATGTCAGTATTTTACATCAATATGATGTTGGTTTAAGATGTTGGCTCGACATTGAATTTCAATCACTTTAGAACACAACTCAAAATCAACAAAATATCAACGTCAGTTTGCGTTGTTATTGGAAGGCAAAATAAATCCAGCTAAGCATTTACTGTACGATTTATTGTCTGTTGAACACAAAATAAGACATTTTGAAGAACGTTGGAAATCGGCAGTCATTGACAGCAGCAGTCAATGTCAACGGTTTGCGGTTTCCAAGATTCTTTAAAAAAATCTATTCAACAATAGAAATAAACACAAACAGGATTGGACCTGTAGAACCAGGGTTGGACCTAACTAGATAATGACAGAATTTCGGGGCAAGCTACTCCGGTATTCCATGTACAGTATATAGTAAATAGCCATGTCTAAACACAGCGCAGATATCAAGGAAATAGCATGTTTGATTGCCAGCAGCTCAATTTACTTTCTTTATGATATTGACCACTCTCTTTTATTCATTGCTCACCATCCTCCAGCATCTCCACAGTGACAGGCAGAGACGGGCGACTGGCACCCATGGGCGAATAGGCTACTACATAGAACGTGTAGGCTGTGTGAGGGAGCAGTTCTTTCACATGCAGCTCTGTGGTGTCGTTATTCACCGCAAACTGATACTCCATGTTGTCTGAGCCTGCAAACAAACAAGCACATTTATCGTTTAAAAACCTGCTCCAAAGCAAAACATTGTTGTCCTTTGGGTATGAGCATGCGAATGTGGAGAAGAGTGACCCCATCAATAGCAGCGGTCTACAGTACGAAGTGAATTGGCCTCGGTAAAGTAATGAGACTGGATTTCTCTCTGTGGACTGATCCACTTAAGCTGGCTACACTCAGAGTAATGAAAAAGGCTGCAGGTCAAACAGGGACTCAAGTAACCTCTGGTAACAGGAAGAGCCTCATAGAAACTTTTTACAACAATCCGAAAATAGAAAATGCTCAATGTAGCAATATTTGTCATTTTCTTTTAACGTTTTTATTACATAAAGTTGAAGTCAGAATTATTCGCCCCCTGTTTATTTTTCCCCAATTTCTGTTTAATGTAGAGAAGTTTTTTTTAACGCATTTCTAAACATAATAGTTTTAACTCATTTCCAATAACTGATTTATTTCATTTTTGCCATGATGACAGTACATAATATTTGACTAGATATTTTTCAAAACACTTCTATACAGCTGAAAGTGACATTTAAAGACTTAACTAGGTTATTTAGGTTGACTAGGCAGGTTAGGGTAATTAGGCAAGTTATTGTATAACGATAGTTTGTTTTTTTCAAAAAAAAAAAAATTAGCTTAAAGGGGCTAATAATTTTGACCCTAAAATGAAAAAAAAAATCAAAAACTGCTTTTATTCAAGCCGAAATAAAACAAATAAGACTTTTTGCAGAAAAAAAAATATTATCAGACATACTGTAAAAATTAACCTTGCTCAAACATCATTTGGGAAATATTTAAAAAATAATAATAATAAAATTCAAAGGGGGGCTAATTCTGACTTTAACTGTATATGTCTGGTAAGGCTACTTATAAAAATTTTTTTTTTGCAACAGATAACATAATAACAGTTTTAAAGAGTAACTATTAATGTGTTTCATTATATTACTCATTTTTACTTACTGTAATCTAAATATTTTAAAATACTTTGAAATACTTACGCTGCGTAATACAAATAAATAGGATCTTGCTGCATTAAAAGCTTCAACATGAATCCAAACCAAACATATTATGAAAGCAGTGGTGTAAAGTAACACATTACAAATACTCAATTACTGCAATAGAGTCGTTTTCTCAGGAATTGTAACTAACCAAGTAGTTTTAAAAATGTGTGCTTTTACTTTCCCTTGAGTACATTTTTAGTGCTGTATTGGTATTTTTACTCCATTATTTTCCTTCAACCTGCAGTCTCTACTTTATTTTTTCTTGTCTATGGGGATTGGCTAAAGTAGATAAATTGGTCCTGTTATTCCCATCCAATCACAGAAAGTAAATCGCACCATACTGAACAACCTCATGACATGAGTGCTTTATAAATGCAGTAAACTACTTGGAAGTATGAAAAGTGTCAAAGAAAATGTCTAAAATCTTTACACACAATGATGCAAAGACTATTTAGAGTGCATGTTATTGATGAGAAAATGGTGGATGTTTACTTTCTGATGACTGAAAATGCCAAATGGCCTTCAATAATTACTAAATGCACTACAGAATGTTACGTTTACACGTTTACGTTTACTACTCTTGAGTACTTTTAAAGGGGCATTTTACTCATACTTTGAGTAATATTACTAACAAATACTTTTACTCTACTTGTGCTACATTTTGGGCAAGTAATAGTACTTTTACATAAGTATAGTTTTTCAGTATTCTTTCCACTGCTGCATGAAAGTAGCTGAAACAACTGCTCCAACGGCTCCAAGTTGTTCCATATAGATTTGTTTAATGAATGCACCAAACTTTAAGTGATCACTTCACTGATATTCCACTCTATAGAGAAGTGAACAAAAATGGGTGGCCTAAACATCAACTACTTACGGAATTTAAAAACTTTTATTTCATGGATGATTCGTTTGAATCTGTTAACTGAATGCAATGTGAGTTCTATGAGAATATTATTCATATTTCTATATTGAAATGTTAAACATTATGATAACCATTCAACATTCAAAATGTGAGAGTTACTGTATAAAATGTTTCAGAGATCAAGAACTACCTCATGCTTTTTCAGGTAGAACGTTTTGTTTTGTTGTATTTGACTTTGTTGCTTTGTTGCAGGTACAGATTACACTGTTCTGAGGTGTTCCGTTTATTTCAGACTTACAAGTAAAACACTCTTTGTATTTGCACAAGAGAAATGCATTCCACAAATAGCTTGCATATTTTTGTGTTGTGATGATAAGCTCTATTACAAGTGGCTAAATAAACAAACTGCATAGTTTGTTTGTTTTTTAAACAAATAATCAGTTACCTTATTTGGTGTACACCCCATAGTTTACTTAAAATTGTAATCAAAATTTAAAACTCACAGTACTCAGTTTGGTAATCTAAAAGACTTTTTGGATGTAAGAGTAATTCGATTATTACCTACTTAAAACAGTAAATATGTGCAAATAAGTGTGATTATTTTATTGGTCAAGCTCTTAGTTTGATACAGTTGGGTAGTTGATATTCTGCAAAAGCTCTGGTATGAGTTTCATCACTCAGAGTAATGTTTTTTTTATTCAGTGTAATAAAATTCTCTGTTATGCCATAATGTTATGCATTACACTGAATTGCAGCATCAACTTTAATAACTTATTCATACAGAAAAACATTGTTATTCAGCATAACAGATATATTAATGTAAACACTTTACTTGTACCCACTCTGACCTGTACATACTACTAAATCATACAAACAAATGTTACCATTCTATGTTTTCTTATATTATAGATAATTTTTTTACTGCCTTTAATTTTTTTGTGAACAGACATTCTCTCAAAATTACAGTGGTCAAGAGAGCTTAACATGCTGCATATTAACAAAAGATCTTCACCCAATTGACAGCAGACAAGCTGCAAATCCTCACAACACATACACATTAAAAAACGCTGCGTTTTCTGACAACGCAAACGCGCTGCACTTTCTTTCAGCACTTGCAAAAACATCGGAACACAATGGAAATGTTTCAAGGGGACCCAACAGCCACAGCCAAATCACCCTGCAGCCTAAGACCTGTTACTCACTGAAGCTATGCAAGGCTGAGACTGGTCATTACCTGAACAAGAGACCACATGGGAAAACTAGGTTGCTGTTAAAAACTGTGTTAGAGACGCCAGCAGGGGGCGCTCGACCTGTGGTCTTTGTGAGTCCTAATGTCCCAGTAAAAGTGAAGGGGACACTATATTGTCAGTGGGTGCCATCTTTCGGATGAGACATTAAACCGAGGTCCTGACTCTCTGGTCATTAAAAATCCTATGACACTTCTCGTAAAGAGTAGGGGTGTAACCCTGGTGTCCTGGTCAGAGTTCCTCAATCGGTCCTTTTGATCATGGCCTCCGAATCATCCCCATCCACCGGATTTGCTGGTGTGTAGTAAGGGGAATGGGGCTGTTGTCCTGTAACATTACATTACAATACAAAAACATGACTGACGCCACTGTGTCATGACTACAGCTCAGTAAAGTTGTTAGTGATCTTGAAAGATGAGTTTTATGTTTGTTTATTTTAACACCCCGATTCCCTTGTCATTTGTATTTTACTAGCCTAAATAACCATAACCTAAATAGCCGCATCTGTCACATTTTAGTGTCCTCTCAAAAAATTGTTGTTGTGTTCTGTGCTATTTGAAAGTGTTGTGAAAAAATGCAGCATGTTTTCCTCAATTATTTGCTTTGTGAGAAAATTCAGGGCATTTTATTCATTTCTTTGCATTGTAAGAAAATGCAGCACGTGTGCTGTCAAACGGATGAAGCTCTTTTCTTAATATGCTGGTGTGTTTTGTAATTGTATGTGTTTTATTAAATTGCATCATGTTAAGCTCTCTCAGCCACCGTAAAAAAATAATAAAATGTTTACAATGTATAAACAACAATCTGAATAAATATTGTAATACATAAATAAACAGTGAGGCCAGCAGGGGGCGCCCACCCTGCGGTTTGTGTGGGTCCTGATGCTCCAGTATAGTGACGGGGACTCTATACTGCTAAGTGAGCGCCGTCTTTTGGATAAGACGTTAAACCGGGGTCCTGACTCTCTGTGGTCATTAAAAATTACAGGATGTTTAAAAAAAAAAAAAAAAAAAAAAAAAAAAAGAGTAGGGGTTTCATCCTGGTATCCTGGGCAAATTTGCCCACTGGCCTCTGTCCCTCATGGCCTCCTAACCATGGCTGCCATCATGTCATCCAGGTGGATGCTGCACACTGGTGGTGGATGAGGAGATTCCCCCCTATGTGTAAAGCGATTTAAGTGCCCAGAAAAGTGCTATATAAATGTAGGGAATTAATTAATTAATATATTTCTGTTACTTTACAGACTTCTCCATGTTCTACTCCATTATATTATTTCAAACTAGAATGTCAATAAAAAAATCACTTTGTTAAACTGCAGAGTTGAAATTTCTACATCGACAGTCGACAGAGCAGAGATCAAGGTCCCAACAATGCAATTTACAACCGTGAATAAACGAAAAATGCGAAACAGTTATTTTTTTATAGTGTGGTCCTGACCTGCCGTGCGCTGGTAGTGAACGGAGAAGCCAATGATCTGGTCACTGTTGTGTTCCGGAGGGTCCCAGGTGAGCAGCGCAGAGGTGCTGGAGTGCGGCGTGGCAGAAACATGACGAGGAGGGCTGGGCAAACCCTCTCTCACGATCACAGACAGCTTGGCAGTGGCGCAGGCCGTGCCCAGGCTGTTGGCAGCAATACACTGGTAGTATCCAGCATCATCCAGTCGCAGCTGGTTGATGAGCAGAACACCAGGGTTCTGGGTCTTCACCCGGGCATTGGACTGCACCGGCTCTCCATTCTTCAGCCAGCGCAGAGCAGGAGGAGGGTCACCAGAACTATTACACACAAACCGGGCTGTGTTCCCGCGGGACAGAGACACCGCCTCTGGGGACTGGAGGATGATGGGTGGAGCTGGGAAAAATAAAGAGTAGGCAAAAAACAAAAAGATTCATTCAGAAATACTGATGTAATACATTTACTCCAAGATTTAGTTTGTGAACAAACAACAAAAAAGTAACAATTACAATAGTTTCTAATTGAATATTTCACATCTAATTAAACAAGTTGTAATTGATTTGTGATTGTTTGTGGAAATTTACCAGTATTTTCTAAGTGTATGTGGAACCTTTAAGTAATGAGTAAAGGCTTATTAATGTAGGTTAATGAGAAAATTCTACATTTATAATTCAAGTCTGATCCATAATTTGATACATGATGCATAAACCCATGTTAACATTAACAAAGCACAATGAACATTAAGATTAATTTGTTGCAATTTTCTTACAACTTAATTGCAAGTTCATATTAGCTACTCTAATGAACTATAAATGATATAATGAAGAATAAGTGTTACATCATATATACTATATCACATATTTGGGACTTGTGGAGCTGCGCATCGGTTGATTTGCTCTTCAGTGATTGGACTTTCAGTTGTGAAATTTAAACCACACTAAACTGAACTTTTTTTTATTATATTTAACGTGTACGTACACATTTCTATACCAGATATAACAATAATCAACAATCAAACAAATAAACAAACAAAACAAAAGGCTTCTCAGTATTTGACACCAGGATACAATATCACCTCTTTTAATAATCTGCTAAGAAAACATTTCCAACTCCACCACCTTTTAAAAACAACATAAAAGGTCTCCAAACTAAAAAAAAATGTATTTATTTCTTAATATACAAGATATTTTTCCATTGGCATGCTTGTTACCATCTCTTTCAGCCAACGGGCTATTTTTGGTGCACATGTACTTTTCCAATTTAAAGGAATAAACTATTTCAAATACATATATTCATAAATATATGCTCTTTTTTAACTTGGTCTCTTGGAATATAAATGAAATAAAATAAAAATAAAAGAGACATTGGTATATTAACCTCAATAATCTTTTCTATTATTTCTTTCACACCTTTCCAGAAGTTTTGTATTCCTTTACATTCCCATATACAGTGATACAGCATTACATTATGGTCCCTGCATCTCACACAAGTTATGTAAATCCTCATCAACCACTTATTTTGTAACTGTTTCAGATGTGTTCATTGTTAGTGACTGAGACTCCTCTACAGCACAGGTGTCAAATCCAGTTGCTGAAGGGTCACAGCTCTGCACAGTATAGTTCCGACCCTACTTCAACACACTTACCTATAGGTTTTAAACAAGCCTGAAGAAATTAGTTTGATAGGTGTGTTTAATTAGGGTGAAAGCTAAACTGTGCAGAGCTGCGGCCCTCCAGGACCTGAATTTGACACCAGTACTCTACAGCATCTAGTCCTCTATAGAGGTATCCTCTTTAAGATCTAATCTCCAAGCTTCCAATTTACAATTTAAAGATTCCTTTGATCCTGACCCCAGATCTTGCATAATGCAGTAATTTAACCTTCACTAAAACAATCTTTTGTTATTACTTTTTCCAAAAGAGACAGCTTATCCATAGAATTGTTTTCTGATTTGAGGATAAAATCTCTTATCTGTAAATACTTTACCAAATGTTTTGCAGGAATATCGTATGTACTAACAATTTCCTTTATTGACATTAGAATATTGTTAACATATAAATCTGCTATGTTTCTAATTCCCTTCTCTGCCCATATCTTGAACTCTGCATCTAATATACCTGCTTTAAATTTGTTATCATCCCAAATTGGACTGAAACAAGTTAAAGGATAGCAGGCACTTAAATAGATTTTCATGTCAAACCATATGGAAATCATATTTATAACTATGGGATTGGAAACAATTTCAACTAAACTGAAAATTAACTCGGAAAAGTGGACTGACACAGTTTCAATTTTAATTTACTTGAACGTCTATGTTAAGCTGCTTTGACACAATTTACATTATAAAAGCACTATATAGATAAATATGAGTTGAGCTGAATATAAATCATATCTTAACAAAAGATAAATAAAAATAACTGAACACATATAATGAGTCATACTGTATTCAAACAATTAGAAAAAACATCAGTTTTTCAAGGACAAATCTTTCTACTAGTACAATTTTTTCCCTTACAAAAACAACAACAGATGGATATCCGTATGATTCAATTAGAGTGAGTAAATAAAAAAAAATAAAAAAACACCTTGTAAATGTTGGAGCATATTTTTGGAGCAACAATTATACTGTACTTTCATGCAAAACATGTCTTGACTGAATGATTTATTTTAAAACATCAGGATTCCTCTGAAGTGTGCAGTTCAGAAAAGAGTCATTTTGATCCTTGTAAACAGACAATATCGAGTTTTAACACATTAAAACAACCCAAACATAATACAGCTTTAATTTTTTCTGTATGTTAGAATGAGTCCTCTTTTTGTCTGAGCAACTTAATTAAGTAATGATGTTTTGTCATTGTCAACATTCGTCTACAAATTTGCCCATATAGATACTACAGTATTTGATGAATTCCTGAAATAATAACCACAAGCATAAGAATAAGCACTAATAAGACAACCTATTAGAAATATTTCAGAGTTTTACATCAATCCATTTTATATCCATCATGTAGGGTTAAGCAACCATCTGTTTCTTTTTACTGGAAAGCTTATTGATTTTTTGGTGACGAGGGATTTTATAAAGCATTTTAACCCTGGGACAGAGAAATTGGCAAGCACAAAATTCCTCAAGAAATACTCAAGGACAATACCAAATGTAAAACCAAAACCGAAAAAAGGCCTTGCTAAACATTGAACATTTCCTGCCTATATTATTCATACATTAATTTTACATCAATAAGCCTCGTTGTATATTTTATCACACTCTCTACAATTTATTCAGTATTTATTCACACTGCATGACCAGTTAGGAGGAAACGCACACATTTACCTAGTACTCGGAGTTCAGCAGGAGATGAGACGAAATCTCTGGTTTTAGGTTTGTTGGCACGGCACACATAAACTCCAGCATGGTGACTGCGGGTGTCAGGAATCACCAGGTTTGTTGCAAGAACAACAACATCTGTAGCTATAGGCTTGCCATCTATGCATCCCGGAGGAGAGGTTTAAAAAATAAAAACAATAAGGGAAAAATTATGAACGCAAATGGGAATTGAATCAAAACAGAGCATGCACAGAGACATTGGACATTTCTTGATAACTATACATAATAAAAAAGAGAGCCAAAGAAAATCTTAGGATTTAACCACATACAGTGCTCAGCATCATTGAGTAGACCCCATTTTAAAAATGATTTTTTTTTTTTTATCAATTTCTGAGTGAAAATAGGTAGTGTATTTTGGTGCATTTAAACAAAACAAATTTGTTAAACAGATATCTTTATTAAAATAATATTTTAGTCACCAAACATTAAAAAAATAGAAAGATAATACAATAAAATTAAAGCAAAAAATTGCTAAATAAATGACAACCTTCAAAATTTTAACAAATTTTTTTATTTTTTTTTTGCTTCTTGATTTTTCCTCTTTTTTTTTAAATTTGTATTTAATACTTTTCTATAATAAATAAATTTGGGTGTACTAGTTTTTGGACCGTTATCGTACGTTATTTTGTTAGATTTGGCTTCAGTACTGACTAATCTACTGAATATGCACAAATATAATATTGTATAGCTGACTATTAAAATTTGAATTAAAAAAATAGATTTGTGAGGGGTGTACTTGTATATGCAGAGCACTGTAAGTAGCTATTCGTAGCTAAATCTGTGTATGAAAGTCTTGGTTTAAAACTATCAGGAAAAAAAAATTAAATACTCTCATAACTGAATTACTCTTATTTTGTTTTAAACAATGCAAAATGTCAATCAATAAGAACTATTGAAAGATTACTAAGTCATTTTTAAAAAGACATCATCTTTAAAGCACCGATAGGCATGTCATTTATTCTTCTCTTATTGATTTGTACAGAATGTTTAGGATATACTAATAGTAGGCTAACTATGTGTCAACTCTGTTATTGTGATATTTCAGTGAGTTTCTTATTCACTTAAAAAAATCTTTGAAATTTACACAAAAAGACAAAAAAAAAATCAAATTACATTAACAATCTCTACCTCCACATTGAAAACAATAACACAACAAACAGATAAATATGTAAACAAAATAATATATACATAAAAAAATAATAAATGAGTCGAAGGTCTTAAAATATGAACACAAAAATCATCTAATAAGGTATATAAATATCTTGCTTTTTGACTTTTCATCTCTCTTAATGTCTTCATATACTGTATACCACAAATTCTTCTTTAAACAGTACCACACTGCAAAAATTATATGATCAATTAGTCATGACAGCGTGTTTTTAGTTCATTGTAACTTACTAAACTAAGTTGATCATGTTCTAACTTAATTGTATAGGTTACGCAAGCTGTTTTAGGTCAGTTTAACATAAGTTCAATTGACTCATAGGGTTAATTTGACTCAGCTTAAAAATCAAAGCAAGCTGTTTTTTTGTGTAATCATGGGGTAATTTTGAAAAATGTAGATTTATAAATATACCATTTTAATAATATCAAAAACTTTGATATGTATTATAGAAGATAAGATCTCTTTATAGATGAGCTATCACTTCAAGCTGTTAAATACATACAGTAATAATAATGATGTAATGTGTCTGATGAACCAGCAGAGGGAAGTACAGCACTGGAGGAAATACTGTACGATGTGCATGAACAATACCTAGACACTGACCGTCTGCCATATTCACACTCAAACAAAGAAAAAAAAACACATCTCGTGCATTTTACAACATCTTGTAAATTTTTTATGAAAGCTAATGAGAATAATGCTCTCACTTATACAGCTCTGGCCTCAGTGTGGAGAAAAGAGGGCCAAATGAGACCATGAGAGGGAGTAACAGTGGGGGTGAAGGGTGGAGGGTAGTTGGGGTGTCTGTTGCAGCACAGCCACGTCTCCATAAAGCAAACATATAAGCTCATATATTACAGTTTGTGTGGTTCATTAACATTAGTCTATATAAGTACTTCAGGTTCACAGGTTCATTACAGTAAAAGCACAAGTGCCTTCCAAATCAGCCAAGGGTTTAAGTGCAGAGCAATGATTGCTTGAAGATTTTTTTTTTTTTTACCAGAGTTTTTAGCTGCTAGGTTCTCTTATATTATTACAACATCAACATGGCTGGGGAGTTTGGGTTCTCTAGCTGACCCAAGTCAAACAGGACATGACACTTTTAAGAGTATGGATCAGTTTTAAACTATAATAAGGAATTTTACAGAGCACTTATATATATATATATATATATATATATATATATATATATATATATATATATATATATATATATATATATATGTATATTATTTATTTATTTTATTTTTTTAGGCCTACTAGAAACATTTTTTTTTAAATGAAACATGTTTTATTACAGAAGTTTGAGCAATAAAATATATTTCTCATCATTATTTAGTTTAACTTAATGATCTATTATAATTAACATTAATAAATAAATGAAGACTACAAACAATAAAAAACTATATACATGTTTTGCATAAATATAAAAAACTAAAATAAAACAAAAACTGAAAAAATTACCAAAACTTTACTCAAATTAAAATGGAAAAGGAGAATCTAAACTCATAATATGAATGTAATTAACAAAAGTATGTATAAAAACTGCAATAGATTGTACACAATGTTTCTAGTTTTTCTCATTTTCATTTAGCTAGTGCACTAAAACTGCTAGAAATATATACATAAACTTAGAATCTATATACACATGTAAAAAAAAAAATAAATAAATAAATAAATAAATATATATATATATATATATATATATATATATATATATATATATATATATAAATATAAACATATATATATATATATAAACTAAATTGTACAAGTTTATTCAAAATAAAATATTTCATCCTCATTTTATTTTAAAAGTATAATTTAATTATAATCTGTGCGCATACAATGTACAATCAATCTGGTTCTACAGTACATGTTTGAAAAGAACATTTATTGTAAGTTGTAACCCAGTTGTAAGAGCAACAAATAATAACTTGACTTCTAGTTGATCATTTGAAAAAGTGACAGAAACTAGATTTTTCCCAATCATCACAAATACTGCAGAAGATCTATTGGCACCCGTGTGGACCCAGGATTCTCACAGGTATCAGTCAAGTTTGGTGAAGGAAGAATCATGGTTTGGAGTTACATTCAGTAAGGGGGAGTTTGAGAGATCTGCAGAGTGGATGGCAACATCAACAGCCTGAGATATCAAGACATTTGTGCTGCCCAGTACATTACAAACCACAGGAGAGGGCAAACTCTTCAGCAGGATAGCGCTCCTTTTCATACTTCAGCCTCCACATCAAAGTTCCTGAAAGCAAAGAAGGTCAAGGTGCTCCAGGATTGGCCAGCCTAGTCACCCGAAATGAACATTATTGAGCATGTCTGGGGTAAGATGAAGGAGAGGAGGCGTTGAAGAGGAATCCAAAGAATCTTGATATACTCTAGGAGTCCTGCAAGAAGGCTTTCTTTGCCATTCCAGATGACTTTTTTAATGTTTTCTGAGTCACTGCAGAGATGTATGGATGCAGTCCTCCAAACTCATGGGAGTCATACATAATATTAATTCTTTTTCCACTGCACCATGACTTTATGTTCTATACTGGACATTATTTCTGTTTAGTGACATGACTTTTGTTTAAGCAAAGTCAGATCTTGATGTCCTAAATAAATAATTAAGAATCAACACATGATTATATTTTATTTTGGTAAAATACGTGTAATCTAGAGGCCTTTGTCTTTCATAAAAGCCACTTCTGATACCAAATGATCAACTAAAAGTTAAGCTATTATTTGTTTTTCCTAAAACTTAGATGGGTGACAAGACTTTTGTCAGGCAGTGTATTTTAGCTATTTTAGATTTGAGTTCAAGTCTTTTTACATATTCATTCTTAATTTGACAACACTGATCGGGTGAGGTCACAGTCTTGTTTATGGACCAGCTTCAGGTGCACAGTACACACCTGGTTCAAATTACTGCTCTTAAAAGCTACAGACTGTTAAAGTAGACAAGCATTCAGTTGCATTTGTGTATAACATGTTAAATCTTACCCTGTCTGCTCCATGACACAAAGGGTTTGGGTTCACCCTGAGCCATGCACTCCATAACAGCTGGACGTCCCATGACTACTGTAGAGTTCTGTGGCGGAGCCACAATCACCACCTCACTCTCCTGAGACAGACCTACACACAGACATATCATGAGTGCGTGTGTGTGTGTGTGTGTGTGTGTGTGTGTGTGTGTGTGTGTGTGTGTGTGTGTGTGTGTGTGTGTGTTTGTGGACAGGATAAAAGAGTGTTCACCATTAGACAGAAACTTCAATTTGAGTGAAAGCAGAATTAAGTTAGCATTTGACCTGATAGTGTAAACTAATATTCTCACAGGAAGTGACAAAGATAGAGTGAGATAGGATTGAGGAAATGGTGTGATAGACAGATTAAGAAAGTGAAAGAGAAGCATTTAAAAAAAATAAATTAATAATATTATTCAACAAGGATGTATAAAACTGATGAAAAGGCATTCATGTGAGATTTCAAGGATTTAAAAAAGATCACTGTTTTAAATAAGTGCTATTTTTAAAAACTTTTTAAATAAAGCATTTATGAAATAATGAAGTAATTATAAATTCTTCTAACGCAGTAAACCAGCATAGATGTTTTCTGAAAGATGGTGTGACACTGAAAACTTAATCATGCAGATTCTAGCTTTGAATTCAGGCTATAAATAACATTAAAATATTTTGAAACAGAAAACATTTTTTACAGTTTTATTTTTGGTCAAACCATTCTTGTTAAGGAGGAGAATTTAGAAACATTTACCAACTTCAAATCTTTAAATGGCAATATGTGTATTTACACATGTACTGTATGTACATATGACTTCATGCTATTGTAAAGCACTAGGGACCAAGTAAAATACACTATAAAATCTGACATGACTTTGTATTTTATCCTGTATTTCATACATCCTTACATCTCTTCATTGCTGAGCAGAAACCCATTTAGTATCCACAAAAAGAAAAATAAATAAATACAAATGAGAAAAATAGGTTAATAAACCAATTCTGTAAAAAATGACCCTCATTTTTCATTCTTGAGTTCTTAATTCTTCAGAACACAAATTAAGATATTTTAGAGAGGTCTCTGAACCTCTAAATACAGCATCGGTCCTAAACAGCCATCAAAGATATAGTCATAACAATCCATGTGACTTTAGTGGTTCAACTGCAATAATGTAAAGCTCCCAGAATATTTTTGTGTGCTAAAAAAAGGTTAAAATGATTATGTGTGCTTAATCAGTCTATATATAGTATACTCTCTATACTATATCTTTTTTCATGCATCAGGCAAGGCAAGTTTATTTATATAGCACATTTCACACACAATGGTAATTCAAAGCGCTTTACATCAGGGGTGGACTGGAACAAAAATTCAGCCCTGGTATTGTAGCCACACCAGCCCACATTCCCACACCAACACAGCCCCACCCATGGACACGCCTCTCCTGTGTGCTGTGCTTCTCTTATGTGCTCTGCCTCTGCCTCTCCTGCACGCTCTTTTTCCACAACTTCATGATGAGTGTCATCACTACTTGGATCACTGCTTATACTAAGCTTTGCCACATTCTTGTTTTAAATAAACATGTGCTTATGAAACAATTTAAGGGGACCTAATGAATAAATATGAATAATTATGACCTAATGTACACCGTAAAACAAAACAGTCAACTTTATCAAGTAAAGTGTAGTTAACTCAAAATTGACTGAAAGTTAATTCTACTCATTTGAAAAGAGTTTTTAACTCAGTGTTGAAGGTATTGAGTTAATTAAATACCAAATTATTTCAACTTAAATGGAGTAAGTACACAGTGCTTATGTACATTATTTTCAATAAACTCAAATGGCTTGTTACAATTGGTTTCCTCAAACGCTCTGAGTTGCCTTAACTTATAGGGTTGGTCAGTAGTTGGTTGAGTTCTCTTTATTTATTGGGTTTTACTGTGCTCAAATGGCTTCATTTACTCAAATGGATTAAGCTCACAGTACTCATTAGGATTAGTTTTTGAACTTAAATGGTTTGTTGCAATCGGTTTCCTCAAATGGTTTGAGTTAGCTTAACTTTTTGGGTTTTACAGTGTACAGTTAAGTTCAAATGTAACTATGTAGACATAATTACAATTATTGTCATGTGTTCACCTCTACTTTAGAATTTATTACAAACCCAGAGTACAATGTGTGACTGTTTTGTTATTCCTACCTCTACTTCAATCTTCCCTGACTCTGCTTGGCCTACCGTAGCATCCTTTCTCACAGCACTAGTATTAGCAGAGCAGTCTTTGCTGATAATGACATTCTAAAATGTACCGGAGGTCTACTCTAAGCTTACAACTGTAAACAGTGTAGGTTACTGTCAAAAACTGTCAGAAGTAATATGAATGGGGTAAGAATAACTTAGTACATTTTAGCATAATGACTTAGAAGTATATTTTCTGTTTTCTTCTTACCTCTACCGAATTGAAACCTTTTGAAAACATTTCAGTTAATTTTCTGCATTTGGCAGCGTGTGGTTTTAGAGCTCTTTTTTGTGCATTCTCTAAGCTTTCTGGCAGCGCCTTTCCTATTTTTCTATGGTCCATTTCTGACAATTAGCTTGTGTTACACTTACTGTTTGACATGCTTTTCAGATTTTGATTACATGTATTATTATTATTACTAATATTATCATCATTGTCATCATAATAATATTTATATCTTGCAAGAGATAAAAGCTGCCTGCATGTAAAAACAATACATATAAAAACATTAAATAAATAAAAACTGACCGGCCCACATTTAAAAAATGGCCCGGCACTTGCCAGAATTGCCAGATGGCCAATCCGCCCCTGCTTTACATTAACAAGAATAAAAGACAAAAGAAAACAAAATGATACAGAGAACTAAAAATAAATAAAAACAGATACAAATTTATTAAATAACAGAATAAAAATGAAAAGAAAGACATAATAGTGTCATCTGTCAGATGTTAGATGTAGCACAGTGCTCATTTGGTAAAGGCACAGATGTGTTTTCAGTCTTGATTTGAATGTGCCTAATGTTGGAGTATATCTGATCATTTTTGACACTGATTCCAGCAGCATTTTTCTAGGGGCAGTCTGCCATTAATAATCTGACATGGAAGACACTGGTGTTGTTTTTACAGTTTTTCAGTGAACAAAAGTGTTCTTGAAGCTTTGCATGATGACAGTTGACCCACTGAAGTGACAAGGAATGTTTTGACAATGATTTTGTTTCCTTTTCTGGATTGCTGCTGTATATGGACGATGAGAGAGCTCTCTGATTTCATCTAAAATACCATCATTTGTCTTCTAAAGATAAATAAGGGTGTTAGGGTATTGAAATGACACGAGGGTGAGTAATTAACAACAGAATTTTCATTTTTGGATGAACTATTAATACATGCTGCATATAATGCACATTTAGTTAAACCAGTTATTGCTGTCGCACTTATTAAATAATGTTTGAATAAAACAGATTATTATATCACAAAAGAGTGCTGCTGTACATGCTGTTTTCCACACTGGTCACCCAAATCTTTACTTTACTATAAACTGTACATTTGTAAATAAAGGCCCTGATTCTGTGGCCTCAGAACAGCCTGTATGAGTTCAGCAGAAACACCCACAGATCACAATGAAGTAAAACATAAGCATGCAGCTATGGATACGGTATGACAGTCATAAATTAATCACTCTGATTACATACAGCACCAATCACATATGCATGAGTGCCCAGGGATTTAAAATGGGTCAGATTTCTGTCTGAGGCTAAAAGGTGCTTTTATGTGTATGTGTGTGTGTACTGGTTTTGGAGGTTTACAATGACAGATATTTGTATAATTACATGGGTATAGCCTAGATATTACAAAATTAAGGTAGTTTATGAGGACTTGCCTGTGTTCTTGTACTTCAAATGCTTAGAAATCATACTTAACAGGGTCTTTTTGACTTTCAAATTTTGCCACAGCTTATTTTATTTTATTTTTACATGACAAAAGTCTTGTCGCCTATCCAAGTTTTGGGAACAACAAATAACTTGACTTCTAGCTGATCATTTGGTATTAAAAAAAGGCTTATTTGAAAGGCAAAGGCCTCTGGATTATGCTTATTTTAGTAAAATAAAATATGATTATGCCTCAATTTTCAGGTATTTAATTAGGACAGTAAGGTCTGACTTTGCTTAAAAGTATTGTCACTTAAAAGAAATAATGTATAGAATAGAATATAAAGTCATGGTGCAGTGTAAAAGATTTAATATTGTGTGTGACTGCAGGACTGAGACTGCATCCATACATCTCTGCAATGACTCCCAGAGTTCATCAAGAGATTCTTTGGATTCTTCTTCAATGACTCCTTCATTTTACCCAGACAGGCTCAATAATATTCATTTCTGGGTACTGGACTGGCCAATCCTGGAGCGCCTTAACCTTCTTTGCTTTCAGGATCTTTGATGTGGAGGCTGAAGTATGAGGAGTGTTATCCTGCTGAAGAGTTTGCCCTCTACTGTGGTTTGTAATGTAATGGGCAGTTGCCATCCACTCTGCAGATCTCTTGCACTCCCACATACTGAATGTAACCCCAAACCACAATTTTTCCTTCACCAAACTTGACTGATACCTGCAAGAATCTTGGGCCCATGTGGGTTCCAGTAGGTCTTTTTCAGTATTTGTCATGAATGTGATGCAGTTCAGCAGATGATTCATGAGAAAAATCTACCTTCTCCCACTTTTCCAAATGATCAACTAGAAGTCAAGTTAATATTTGTTGCTCTTACAACTACAATCGACGACAATGCTTTTGTCAGAGACCTCATAAACAACCACACCAACATGTGTGTGTGAGTGAACACAATAGTGGACATACACTTCACTATGAATACCCCCCCCCCCCCCACCCCCAAAGAAAAATGCTGTTTGGCTCTTTCAAGATAAGGTGTGTGTGTGTGTGTGTGTGAGAGAGTGTGAGAAACGAAACGCACAATGTCAAACAGAATACTAATAAGTCAAAATACTGCCTAGCATCCCAGTGAGATATCTGAAACACAGACTCTCTTACACACACAGTGACTGTTTCAGTGCAGTCGAGCTATCTGCTCTCATGGGTAAAAGATGCATCGCATTTGCAGAGC